GGGGAATGCGGATGTTGAACATCTCCCAGTCCAGCTGTCCTGGTTGGGCTGCTATGTATATAAAAAACAAATGTCACACCATCTCATTGCAGCACCATGAGCGACGGGAGGGTACATCTCCACACACGCACACACACACACACACACACACACACACACACACACACACACACACACACACACACACACACACACACACGAAGCGTCATCCATCCATACGCACCAGCACGTAGTGATCGACGACAATGACGGGGATGGCACCCGCAGCCATGATCTATGAGGCACGAAAGGGGGTGACATGAGATGGAAGGCGGGGGAGAGCACAAATAGGACCGAAATTGTCTGCAACACACACACACACAGACACACACACACAGACACACACACACACACAGACACACACACACACACACACACACAGACACAGACACAGACACAGACACACACACACACACACACACACACCTGCAGGAGTGGTTGCCAAGTCCTTCCACGATGAGCCAAAATTTGGTCTCCAGTGCCAGTTCCGTGTACGTGTACTTGTTGAACTCTTCTTCTGCCTGCGTACACGACGGGTCATATCCTACCTTCCCCCTCACGGCCCATGCGCTCTTCGCCAAACCACCGGCACGCGCGCACCAACACAATGTTCCTGCGCATACACAAACAAACGTACAAAGAGACGATGTGTGTGCGTGTGTGTGTGTGTGAAGTGGATCCAGACAGACACGCACACAGCACCTAAACCAGCTGAATCCTAGGCAACGCACGACACACACACGGAACACAAGAACACACAACACTCGCACGCATAGCACACCATACCTGCCATTGTGCAGCCTGGGGAGGTGGTTGCACATGGCATCAAGAACGAGCAGGCTTGGTGGTACCCCTGCACAACAGGGAAAGAAGACACATGTCAAGCAGCGGCACCACAACATGTTTGGAGTGAGATCGCAGCGGTTACAAGAAGGGCGAGTGGTGGTGCAATGAGCGATACCGACCCCTCAAAACCCAAGCAGCAGTAGTGAACATCGAACCTCACATCGCACCACGTCACAACACATCACACATGCATGCACAGACCTGAAGGTGACGAGGTATTTCCTGTTTGTGCGGGCGGAAGGTGTCGCTGCTGCGGTGTGAATGAATGAATGTCACCATGGAGAAGAGTGGCATGGACACATCGAGGCCGTCACGGTGGTAGCATGCATTGAGGTGGTGTGATGAGATGGAACAGACAGGATTGGTAAAGCGTGTAAGCATCAGCAGTCGCACATGGTGCGTGCCAACCCAATATTCACTTCTCTTCCAACACATACACACACACCAACCTGTGTCAGTGTCGTGGATCGACGAGGAGGAGGTCATGGACGAGCCAGGGCATGCGACACAGCAAGCCGCTGCCAGACAACACACCACCATCACACCACTTCTAGGAACGGACAGCACGGCTGCGTCCACCGCGCTTGCGGCTGGATCGACGATGAGGATGGAATGCGAGTTGCATGGAATGCCGAAGCAGGAAAAGGTCATCGTCCGCAGCCACGCCGCTGATCCACTTGCATCCGCCGTGTAGCAGCTCATCAAGCGTGGTGGTGTCTGCTGTGCTCGTGCTGCGATCAATGGTCAGACCCGTAGAGGAGGGTGTTGTGAGCCAGCCAGCACGCCGCCTGCAGTGCCCACATGGCTCAACCGGCTTGCAGACTGTTGATGGTGGTCGTGTCATCCACTGCTGCTGTCGCTGCTGTCACTGCTGTCACTGCTGTCACTGCTGGTTGTGGCTGTTGATGGTATTGTGCATGGCCTTTCAAGACCATCACCACCACCTCGCCACGGTGAGCTGGGTCATGTCAGCTGCGTGTGCGCATGTCCACGACGTTGCTTCTGTCTGATCATCAAACACGCAGAGATGATTGGTTTGTGCCAAAACATCATCCAACGAACTTCAACACACACAACAGTTGTTAGAGAGTTGGGAGAACTCACTAAGATTTATGGTGTTCTGGGAGAAGCCCAGCAGGAACAAAGGAATTGTCTCATCACGAGACTTACGAGCCTACACGTCAAGTGACCAGAATGGTTTGGTTCACTCATGGTCATACACGTCGGAGACCAAGTGAATGTGTGATTTACCCTGCCATGAGCGAACTGATACTGTGTTGCGTATTCATTCTTCCAACCAGTGTATTCCCTACCACAACTCGTACGGCAATAGCTTTCTGCCCCAACCAATACAAACCATCGACTACAGCGATCACGATCATTGTCACACACACCTACAACGTGAGGAGGGACACACTGCATATTTCACGTTGACAACAGTAGCACGCAAAGCATGCGAGCGAGCCTGTCCCCACCCCTTGCGAGCCTCGAAACGGCTGCTGTTGAAGTTGATGATGTTGCAGCGGCCGCTACAGCGCCGCTGACTTTGCCACCACATCGCCGTGCAGCGATGTATGTAGCAATGCGGGGCAACACGCAGCAGGTGTGGCTTCCAGGCAATTATTGCCTCCTGCTTCCCCAACAACCCAGCACAGCAAGCAACAGCAAGACATCAACACCGCTTGCTCCACGCGTCACTTGCCAGCCATCCCCACCTGCGATGAAGTCGCCCAAGTGCAAGAACCGCCACTTTGCCCGCAGCAACCACCTTCCTGCACCCCACTTTCTTTGGGCCGCCGCACTCGCGCAACAGCCAGGCCCCGGTCCACGTCCACATCACCGTCCCCTTTGACCACGACGTACCCCACACCCCTCAAAGGCCTTTCGCTCCACCCTGCTCTGGGTCACAGCATATCGGACATTAGTGTGACGACAGCCGCTGAGCCACATCCAGCTCCCCAGACACAATGGTGCTGCGGTCTGCTGCCTCCATCCTGTTTCTCCTCGCCGCCTCGGGTGCGCTCTTCGTGGGCACCATGGGTGCATCCACAACATCCAGAGACAGCACGCCGCGCTCGCCCTCACCTACTGCGTCCACGCAGACGGCTGCTGTGCCCGCGTGCAGGCCTCGTCCGGCGGTCGCTGATCCCACGGTCATCGTTGGGCTTGGAGATGCCATTGGTAAGTGGGCGGGCGGCGTCCTTGCCGGCAACGGTCTCATCTTCGGCATCCCCTTCCACGCCACGTCCGTGCTGATCATCGACCCAGCCACCAACACGGCCGACACCACCACCATGGTGGGCGTTGGCGCTGGCGGCGGTCGGTGGGCGGGCGGCGTTCTAGCACCCAACGGCCTCATCTACGGCTTCCCGCACGACGCTGTCTCCGTCTTGGTGATTGACCCCAACGCCAACACCACAGACACGACCAGCATCGCCGGCGTGGGCCGTGGGGGTGGCAAGTGGAGCAGCGGCGTCCTCGCGCACAACGGCATCGTGTACGGCATCCCTTCCTCGTTCACATCTGTGCTCATCATCAGCCCAGCCACCGGCACCGCGGACACAACCAGCATCACGGGCCTGCCAGCCGGCGGCGCCAAGTGGCATGGTGGCGCCGTGGCCAGCAACGGGCTCATCTACTGCATCCCGTGGGCAGCCACCGCCGTCCTCATCATCAACCCAGACACCAACACAACAGACATCACCACCATCGCTGGGCTGCCGCGCGACTATCCATGGCGTGGCGGCCGACGCGCAGGTGCAGCCGGCAAGATCTACGGCATGCCGTTCCGTTCACCGTCGGTCCTCATCATCGACCCTGCCAACAACAGTACTGACACGACAACCATCACCAACCTGCCGTCGCGCAACTCAAAGTGGAGCGGGTGCTCCCTGACCCCCGATGGGCGCATCGTTGGCATCCCCTCGGCAGCCACCACCGTCTTCATCGATCCCGCCACAGACACCGCCCGCGTGGTCGTGCTGAAGGGCCCGGGGCTGAGCGATGTGGCCGGCGGTGATGGCAAGTGGTTTGATGGCGTCCTCGCCAACAACGGCCTCGTCTACGGCATTCCCTGGGACGCCGACGCCGTGCTCGTCATGGACCCTGGGTGCTGACGATGTTGCGTGCGTGTGTGTGTGTGTGTGTGTGTGTGTGTGTGTGTGTGTGTGTGTGTGTGTGTGTGTGTGTGTGTGTGTGTGTCTGTCTGTGTGTGTGTGTGTGTGTGTGTTTCTGTGTCTGTGTGTCGGTCTGTGTGCCTGTGCCTGTGCCTGTGCCTGTGCCTGTGTGTGTGTGTGTCTATGTATGTGTGTGTGTTCACTGCTCTTGTGCTGCTGCCTTTCGATGCTGTACTTGTCTGCGCGGTTGATTGCCTTGCCTAGAGCTTGGATGTTGCCTGCACTGTTCATACGACGAAAATGACATGCATGTTTACATACTTGGGTTGCATTGCGGTGCATTGTGCGGTTGATGTAATTGATGCGGTTGATGGTCCTCTCAACTACACGATTGCACACATAGGGACGACCAACACTTCACGCCTTGCTGATGCTTCACACTCACACTGATGCACGCCACAACAAACCACAGTGTGTTCAAGTGCACAAGGAGGTGGAGGGGAGGGGAGCACGCGCAGGGAACACAGCACCAACAATCGCTGCTTTGCTTGTGCTGTCCTTTCTGCCGTCTTTTATGGACGATGCCATACACTTTTCCATCAAAGCAAAACAAGATAATGGAAGGAGGACGTCGCGTCTTTGGTGCTGGTGGTGGTTTGGTTGTGGGCGCGACCACAGCAGGAGCAACAGGAGCAGCAGCAGCACCAAGAACAAGGGCGCCAGCAGTCAGAACGGCAGCATGGCGGGCAAACCTGGTGGCAGTTCACATGCGCTGTTCCTGGTGCTGTGTGTTCCTCGTGTTGCTGCTGCTGGTGTCAGCCGGTGTGAGTGAGGGCGCATCCTCCTCCACCACAACCACTGCTGCGAGCAGCACCGACACTGGCCTCATCTGTGACCCAGGGTATCACCTCGTCAATAACGCATGCCAGGGTGAGCACTAAACACTACTATGGGCTGGATACTTGTCTCCTTGCCACTGCGTTTTGTGTTTCCTTCCTCTTTCTTTTTGCTTCTTGTGTCGCACACGCACATGCACATACACACACACAACATAACACAACACACACACACACACAACACAACACAGATGTCAATGAGTGCGCACAGAGTGCTGTGGGGCAAATTTCGCCGCCCGTGTGTGACCCGCGCACAGTGTGCACAAACACTGCGGGCTCCTTCGAGTGTGGCCCGTGCCCTGTCAACTACAAAGGCGATGGCAAGACGGGATGCATCCGCGAACCGTCCCTGGATGTCATCGACGGCAACCTGGTCTTCCACATTGACGACGCACACGACCTCGCTATTCGCGGCGTCGCCGCAGATGGAGAAACGACCACCTCGCTCCGCTCCGCCGTCAGCGCTGCCCTTGCCACCAAACAGGTCTGGTAGAGAGAATGAGTGTGTGTGTGTATGTGTGTGTGTGTGTGCGTGTGTGTGTGTGTGTGTATGTGTGTACGTGTGTATGTGTGTTGTGTGTATGTGTGTGTGTGTGGGGCATTTTGCTGGTGCATGTGGCTGTGCGTTTCTCTTGGCGGTGCTTTTGCAGGTACATGACCCAGGCGTTTGTGCGACCTTTCAATCTTGTCACATGCATGTTTGTGTGCGCCGTTTTGTGTTCATGCTGCTGATCTTCATCCCCTTGTCCAATCAACGTGTGCCCGACCCTGGCTTCAGGATTTGGCGTCGACGAAAGTGGATGTGCGCCTGTCCCTCGAAAGCCTCTCCACCCACGTGTCAACACAGGTTTGTTCGCCACATGGTGTGCTGTTGCGAGATCGTTGCAGGATGCTCTTGGATGGTTGGGGGTTGCACACGTGTGTACTGCTGCTGCCGCCGCTTATGGTGATGATGATGATGTTGTTGTTGTTGTATATGCGTGTGTGCGTGTGTGCGTGTGTGCGTGTGTTGTGCGCCCTGCTTGGTGCTGCAGACGGAAGGCATTGATACGCGACACGATATGCTGTCCATGGAGGCTGGAGACGTGAGCCTGGCTGTTACAGGTTGGTTACGCACGTGGTATCGTCTCACATAGCAGTTTCGTCTGAAACAATCTAGGTACCAGCTACTGTGCGCTGTGCTTCCAGCTCCCCTTCACACACACACACACACACACACACACACACACACACACACACACACACACACACACACACACACACACACACGCTCACATGTTCATGGGTCATCCACACATTTCTTTTGTGTTGCTTTGTGTGCGTTTGCATGTGGTGTGCGCCAGCTGTTAAGGGCGAGTTGGAGGATGCGGTGTTCCGACTCGGCAACGTCTCTGAGCTGGCGGACGCTGGACACACACTCGCACGCGCTCTGCAAGAGGAAATCGCGGCCCTCACGCTGCAGCTCAACACCACGGACTCAACCGTGGACCACACGCTCTCGCTCATCTCGGGCCTCGACCAGCGCATCGGGTACAGACAGTGATACACCACGTGTTGCCTTGCTGGCTGCTATCACGTGGTTTTCCATGTGGCATTGTGCATGCAAGCTGATTTCACTTGTCTCCACCCCATTCATGATTTTGTGTGTCTCCCATTGTGCCACCGCCACATGTCAACGGTTCCCTCCCCCCCCTGCAGGGATGCGGAGGATTCTCTTGAAGCGTCAATCGTCTCACTCATGCAGCGAGTTGATCGCTCGGAATCAAACCTTGCTGCCATGCGCGAGTGCGCACTGATGGGCATGGTAAGGCCATGTGTGTGTGTGTGTGTGTGTGCGTGTGTTTGTGTATGTGTGTGCGTGTGTCGTCAAACTGTGAAAGCTATATGACGCGATCTCTTCGTCGGTTCACAATCCTTGACGTGTATGCGGAATTGCACCTTTGTTGCAGGTCCACGATGGGGCCCAGTGTGTTCCTGCATGCACGCGTTTGTCGGCCTGCGACGGTGCACCCTGCTCGCTCCAGACACGAGGCACCCTCCGCTACCTTGATGGTACAGAAACACGAGCAGAACACATGGACTGCAGCTTCTGCGAAACCCATGTGTAGTTGCTCGCACATGACTCACTCACTCACTCACTCACCTACACACACACACACACACTCACTCACTCACTCAACCCACATCACTCACTTACTCACTCACTCACTCACTCACTCACTCACTTACTTACTCACTCACTCACTCACTCACTCACCCACATCCCACATCGCACCACAGACAAGGCTGAGATCTGCGATGGCAACGAGTACACGAGCATTGGCGCCGTCACCACCGGCATCTCGCCCGTCGATCCCGCGGAATCGTGCCAGGAGGTGCGAACACCAGCGCTCTCGATCCTGTCCACATGCAATGCTGGCGCCCCCTTGCAACCTGTAGTCCCCCGTCTCGTTTCACCTCACCCACCTTCCCTCACTTCATGGCCTCTCTTCCTCTTCCTCTCCCCTTTTTCTTCCTGCTCGTGTGCAGTTGAAGGATCTTGGTTACGTGACCGGTGTGTACTACATCGGCAGCGGCACACAGGGCCGCACGCGGCTGTGCGATCTCTCTGGCACCACGGGGGTCAATCTTGGTGGCGACGGCACCTCTGAACAGGACGCAACACGCGACTGCAGGTCCACTTTTCGTGTGTGTGTGTGTGTCTATGTCTGTGTGTGTGTGTGTGTCTGTGTGTCTGTGTGTGTCTGTGTGTATACATGCGCTCAATCGCATGTGCACGTGTGCATTTCTTCGCTCCAACCGCCCTGCTTCTTCCCATCCCGAACTGTTTGCAGCGTTCAGGGTGTGTGCTCACCCTTTCATGCCACTGCCATGCCACCCACCACGACAACGCCACGTGCTCTTCTCCTCACAGCAAACTGTCCAAGTACTTTGGACTGGAGACCGGCCTCCACTGGATCGAGGTGCGAGCATGTCATGCATCGTCAAACAGACCATGTCAATCACGCCATTGCAGGCCTTCTCGCACCATTGCAGCAGAAGAGGAGTCACCAAACCTTCACACCTGCAATTCGCCATTCACATGTATTACGTCTGTCCACCGCGCCGCTGCAGGGTGACGATGGTCAAGCGTACGAGCTCGTCTGCGACACCAAGACCGGCGACATCTCACTCGATGGTTCCTCGCCCTCTTTTGCAGCAGAATCGTGCAAGGCCATCAACGCTGTGTACGTCACTTGTGTTTTCGTGTGTGTGACTGTGTGACTGTGTGACTGTGTGACTGTGTGTGTGTGTGTGTGTCTACCTGTGTGTGTGTGTGTGTGAGTGAGTGTGCGGTGTGGGTGGGTGTGGGTGGGTGGGTGTACCTGTGTGTGTGTGTGTCTGTGTGTGTGTCTGTGTGTCGGTGTGCGCACTTCCTCTTGCTCTTCACCATCAATTGACCTGCACCACTCTCATCTGTCGAGATAACATTTCCTCAACATCCTGCTGTCAACGCACTCCTTCTTCGCATATATGTCACCGCCATGACACGGCAGGTACCCTGACCGCGCCACCGGCACACGCTGGATCACTGCGGGCCTTCAAGACCCCTTCAAAGTGAGCAAATGTCGTTCTTTGTGTGTTCCATGTTGACTCTCATGATCCTGTCGCGCTGCAGCCACACACACCCACGCTCTCTCACTCACACACTCACACACACACACACACTCACACACACACACACACGAAACACACACACACACACACACACACACACACACACACGAAACACACACACATTCACACACACACACAACACCAATGTCACAGGTGACGTGCGTGGGTGACTGGGTGGAGCTGAAGATGAGTGGAAGCGATTTCGCCGACAATGCGTGGATGTTCTCAAGCTCGTGCACCAACACCTGGACAAAGTGCAACTGCTACAACGGCTTGGAGGTGTGATGAACTTTGTTGATAAAGTCGTCTCTGATGCCCGCGCCACAAGCACGCTTCTTGTTCATTGTGTGGCTTTCGCTGTACGTGCGTCGACTAACGAGTCGTCCCTAATTCTCAACCGCACGCCACGATGGCGCTGTTCATCGCAGAACCGGCGCAACAACTGGCAGTGCGGGGTGGTGCCGCCTCAGCTCCACACAATGGACTGCCAGTCATTCTTCGACATTGGGTACACATCTGGCACTACCCAACTCTCTGACGCCCAAATCATTGCCCTCTCAGGCCGCGCCAAGAACGACAACGACCGAAACTTCAACGTGTGTGTGTGTGTGTGTGTGTGTGTGTGTGTGTGTGTGTGCGTGTGTGTGTGTGTGTGTCGTGCGTGTGTGTGTGTGTGTGTGTGTGTGTGTGTGTGTGTGTGTGTGTGTGTGTTGCTGTCATTTCTTGCGTGCATACGTGCGCGTGCATGCATGTGTTTCTTCGTTGCTGCACGCGCCACAATTTTGTCCCAATCTCACTGCAACACCCACTGCTACCGGGTCCTCTCCCGAACCTCCACACGAGGCAGATGTACTCAGTGTCGTGCGATGACGACAATCAATCGTATCCTGACGGCCACTGGATCGGCATTGAGAGAACGCCGGGCAGCAATAACTTCGTCTCTCGCGACTGCACGTCCGGCAACAACGGGTGCTGCAGCAAACAGCTCGTCGACAACTTCGACACGTTCCCACTGCCGCTGCGTGGCTGTGCGTCGCTCAACACAGGCGGCGGTATCATCTTCTACGCAACATCGGCCACCCTCCGCATCCGCATCTGAGCGGTTGTGGACAACATTGAAATGACTTCAACAACAACAACAACAACTTAAACAACAACTTACACAACAACACCAACAACAACTTAAACAACAACAACACCAACAACAACTTAAACAACAACAACAACACCAACAACAACAGCCGTTACGTTGCATTGTGTCTCACCGAAAGCGACTGGTCTTTGTGTATTTGCGTGCAGTTGTTTCTGCCACATGATTAGGGGACAAGCAGCCCCCAGCACATATCAGCCACTTCTTAACGCACACGCGAGCCGCAAGTAAACAGCCATGTCAATCAATCAACCACAGGCGCACAACACAAAGCACGCGGGTTTGCATGCGCCAAGTTAGCAGCAGCAATCACATGCAGGTGTCGGTAACACGTGCGCAACAAAACAAGACTCAGCTCAGATCAGGGAAGTAAGAAGACAGACAGAACGAGAGTGGTCAGGGTGTGCTCGGTTAACGACACCAAACGGAAGGAAAGAACACAACGCCCGCGAGAACAGGCGGGGAAAGACAGCAATAAGGAAGAAGGAACCGTGACAACAGGATTAGTTCCAGTGACCAAACACCGCACGTAAAAACAACAAAGAGGAAAGAACACAGCGGTGTGTACGAACATAGCACACAAACACCAACCAAACATCCAACCAAACATCCAACCAAACATCCAACCAACAACCCCAACAACAACAAACAGCAACAGCACAGTCATTGGGGTGGTGCGCTGCCAGATCAGCATCAGGCCTGTGCATCTGGCTGGCCAAAGCCAAGTGGTGTCTCCGTGAAGACAGTGTCGTTGTATGACGGGTTGGAGCGCAGGCGTGAGGCCCTTGTCTGGAGCGGTTGCTGATTGATGTCGCCGGCAGAGGCGTACACGTCGTCGTCGTCGTCGTCGTCGGGAACGGCCTCGTAATCTGCGAGCGGCGGTGCTGCCTGCTGCTGACCGCTGCCCTCGTACAGGACGTTGGGCACCTGCCCAGGCGTGGACGCGGACGACGCGGGCGTGTATCCGCTGCTTGACGACTCGTAGAGCACGTTCTGCTCGTGGGCGGGATGCTGCCCGTCACCACCGCCACCTCCCGCGTACAGCGCGTTTGGCTCCATGCCGCCCGCATATGCGCCGTCGTACGCAGGGTTGGTAAACATGTTGGCAGTGCTTTTGCCGTCTGCGAGGGCGGGGCGCAGCTTGTGGCGTTTCCGCGCGCGCACCACAAGCACGACAATGATGACAATGATGACGAGCCCGCCACCGCCTGCACCGGCAGCGATGGGAATGGTGGACGACGATGAGCTCGTCGAGCTGTCTGCGCCGCTGCCTTTGGTTGTTGTCGTGGTCGTTGTTCCTGTTGTTGATGGCCCGAGGGCAGGCGCCGTGGTGTTGCTGCTGGGCGCAGATGCGGTTGTTTGGAGCGTGATCGTGGTCGGGTTTGCACTGATGGTGGTAAGCGTGCCCCCACCCCCGGTCGTCGTCGTTCCCCCTCCGTCTCCACCGTTGGTCGTTGTCGGCAGCGTGGATGTCGTGGTGGTCGTTGCCGCTGTTGGTGGTGGTCCAGTTTTGGACGCTGGTGTTGTCGTGGTTGCTGTGGTCGCTGTGGGTGTCGTGGTTGTGGGGGTGGTGGTTGTGAAAAAGGGGTCGCCATCATCGCAGGTGCTGCCTGGCGGAGCAAGCTCCAAAATGAGCTCGCCGTTTGTGTCCAGAACAATGCCAGTGGAGAGATCAAACTGAATGCTGTTGACGACGACTGCGCTGTTGAGGGTGACCTCGTATGAGCCTCCGGACGAGCGCAGGAGCGTGTGATCGGAGTCACACGGCTGCCGTGGCTTCCAGTGCTCAGTGCCGGCATCGGCCCAGGAGAGTGGGCCACCGTTTGCGCCGGTTTGCACCCACTGGACGGCCCTGGACACGGGATCGTGGACAGTGGACCAAGAGGCCGTGTTGTTGGTGTCTTTGGCGACGGCCCGAAGGGTGATGGACTGGCTTTCGGAATACTCCACCTCGGAGATCCACTGGTAGCGAGGCGGGGACTCCTCGTCGCCAGAGTCGGCGACAGCGATGGCGCTGGTATCCGTTATGTCGTAGACGTTGTCGTTGACAGTGAGGAACAAGAAGGCGTCAACGGAGTTGGTTTCCCAGCTCACGCTCACGCTGGTTGGCGTCATCATGCGGCTGGAGACGTCGCGCAAGGACGGGCACGGGGACGGCTCCTCCAGCACCTCGGGTCCGGAGATTTCGAGCGCGCCGCCCACGCCAATCAGCACGCCGCCAACCACGCCGGCGTCCAGCTCGAGCCCAAGCACGCTTGCGCGCTGGTTGTCTCCAATGTCGACGTAGGTGTTGTCGGCGGTGATGGCGAGGAAGTTGTCCGTGCAAGGCGGGCGGCCAGCGTCCCACGCATTGCCGCTCGCCGAAGAGAAGGAAGTCGTTGCGTTGGCCACTGGACGGACGCGTTCCGCCGTGCGAGTGCTCAAGCCCTCTGTGGGCTGGCATTGCAGCACAGCCAGTGCCGCGACCGTAGCCACAGCAGCCAGCAGCATCGTTCCCTTGCTTGTTGTGTCTGGGTCAGGTGGGTTTGTTGGCGTGTGAGTGTTTTGCTTCCTCGCTTCTTGCTGCTTGGCTGTATTGGGTGGTGGAAACTGGACCCTTATTTCAGGTTCATCAGAATTGGCTCCGTTTTGTCATGTTGTGTGTGTGTGTGTGTGTGTGTCGTGTGTGTGTGTGTGTGTGTGTGTGTGTGTGTGTGTGTGTGTGTGTGTGTGTGTGTGTGTGTGTGTGTGTGTGTGTGTCTGTGTGTGTCTGTGTGTGTGTGTGTGTGTGTGTGTGTGTGTGTCTGCGTGTGCGTGACGGCAGAGCGCAATTGACATCACATCCGTGCATGCTTTTATGAAGCGTACAGCCACATCACCACCACCATTCTCCTCCTCCTCCTCCTCCTCCTCATCCTCGTCGACTTCTTTTCCCTCTTCTTCTTCTTCTTCTTCTTCTTCTTCTTCTTCTTCTTCTTCTTCTTCTTCTTCTTCTTCTTCTTCTTCTTCTTCTTCTTCTTCTTCTTCTTCTTCTTCTTCTTCTTCTTCTTCTTCTTCTTCTTCAGCAACAGCATCCTCCCCCACGACCATCACCAAGATCACGGTGCATGTCGAACGAACTACAGCGGTCGGCGTCACTTGGCGCGGCCGCGGCGCGTGCGGAACACCAGCGGCAGCTTGAGCGAAATCAGCGTGTTGGTCTTTGCCCTGCACAAATCGTGCCGAAACGGGATACAATGAGTCCCAACGAAGACAAACCAACACAATCCAATCCAACACAGCACAGCACCATCCAATCCAACACAGCACAGCACCATCCAATCCAAGGCAAACCAACCCACACCAATGTATTGCGCAGCGCACCTCTTTGATGGATTGCCTTCACTGTCCTCGAAATCAACGGATGTGGTTGACTTCTTCACGATGCACCCGAGCGCACGCGCAACATTCTCAACCCTGTGAGATCATCCGTCGTGTCATGGCATGAGCGAACGAGGACGTATGTGTGTGTGTGTGTGTGTGTGTGTGTGTGTGTGTGTGTGTGTGTGTGTGTGTGTGTGTGTGTGTGTGTGTGTGTAGTTTGAGGGGAGCAGTTGCAGCTAATACGCTCGGGACAGCGATACGCACCCACATACACTCATGCCTATGCCAACGTGCAAGCACATACACAAACACACACACACCACGCACACACCACGCACACACCACGCACACACACTCACACACCACACACCACCACACACCACACGCAAACACACACACACACTCAACGCACGACGCACAAGGTACAACCAACGCACTCTTTGAGGGGTGTCTTGAGCTCCGTTGCAAAGGCGTCCAGGGGCAGATTCCTGCACGCCAACAACCGATATGAGCAACCAAAGCAGTGGAATGACACACGGCACAGCACACAGACAATGCGGCAAGCGAGGCAACACGCCAGAAAAAGGATTGTTTCCCCAGTCGAGACACAGCAGTATCAGACAAAGCACGAAGCAGCCAAGTTGCACCCGACACACACACAAGGCAAGGCAAGTACAAACTTGTATTTGCAGGCGTGGAGAGCAATAGTGAGGATGTACATGAGAAGCAAGTGCTGCTTCTGTTTGCTCAGGAACAACCTGCGCCATTCACAAGCCGCAAGACCCCAAACACCGTGAGGGCAGCACAACCAAGGCGCAGCACAACCAAGGTGCAGCAGGACCACCAACACCGCACCAACACGAACATACGCACACGCGCACGCACACGCACACGCACACGCACACGCACACACACACACACAAACACACAAACACACAAACAATCATACACACAGCATCACACAGCATCACACAGCAACACACACACGCGCGCACACACACACACACACTCGCACAGCAACACCTCTGCGTGTGCGCACTTTGGAGAGGACGACGAGTCGTCGGTGTCAATGAGGAATTTGTTGATGAACCCGTCAATGACAGCATCGGGTGTGCTCTGTGCAGTTGGATGCAAGCGCAGGTGTGAGCAGACCACATGCAAGGGCAATGGGAGGGTGTGTGTGTGTGAAAAGACAGCTGGAAAACATGAAGCACGTGCAAAGAACCACACACACAAACACAAACACAAACACACACACACACATACACATACACAAACACAAACACACACACACACACAGGTGTGCGACCTTGAGGGTCTTGACGAGGTCGCTGCGTTTGCGCGGGAGGCGGCGCACGACGGCGCAGTTGTGGAACTTGAGCAGCTCAGCGAGATACTTCAGGGCGAGGATCTGCACCGAGCACGCACGAACACCAAGGGGATCGGGGGATGTTATAGTGACGTGACAGAACAAAAACCTCGTTGCAACGAACTGCCAGGTACCATCAAGCGCAGCACAACCACCATCACCACCACCACCACCACCATGCGTCTCACCCTGGCCTCGCGCTGCTTGCCCTTTGCGGAAATCATGATGTCGCGTTCGAGGACGTCGATGACAAACGGCATGAACCTGTTCTGCCCGCGCCAGGCAGTAAGCTCTTCCTCCTTTGGCTGGTGGTGCACAGAGATTGTGTGATTGTGGGTGTGATTGTGTATGTGCGCGCGCGCGTATGTGTGTGCGCGTGCGCGCGCGCGTATGTGTGTGCGCGTGCGTGTGTGTGTGTGTGTGTGTGTGTGTGTGTGTGTGTGTGTGTGTGTGTGTGTGTGTGTGTGTGTGTGTGTGTGTGTGGTTGTGTACGCAGAGGCAGTAGTTGCGTGAGAAAGTGACGAGCAACAGCAAGCAACAGCAGCAAATGAGGCGTAAACAACACCCAAAGTGGGGCAACATGAGACCACCACCCAGCAGCAAAAGCTCCGCTAGTCAAATGGCCGTGTTCTCACCTTGTGGAAAGATGGATACATGCCCTTGAGGGCAGCACGCTCGTTGGACAGCACAACTGCAGAGCACACACGCACGTGCAAGCAAGTCGATGGCATGAAGCGACACGCGGCATAAACGACAAGTATGCCACAAAACACACACACACACACACACCAGCCATTGCAACACAGCAGATTAAACACAAGGCACCAAAACATTACAAGCACACCACATGACACACCAGCACAGACAAGCATGAGCGGCTCGCTTACGTCCATCGAGCGGGTACACCCCTGCTGCATCCTTGGACTTGAGGTTGTTCGGTGGAAGCATGCGACCTTTCCCGCCCTCCACATCGCCACCATCATCGCCATCGGCGCTGCTGCTGCTGCTGCTGCTGCTGCCGGGCGTCACTGCATCGGCCATGGTCGACGCCACAGTCTCCAGCGCTTCGTCAGAGAGCCTGCACATGGAGACGCACGCGTGAGTGTGACGCTTGGCGAGGTGTGCATCTGTATGCGCGCGCGTGCGTGTGTGTGTGTGTGTGTGTGTGTGTGTGTGTGTGTGTGTGTGTGTGTGTGTGTGTGTGTGTGTGTGTGTGTGTGTGTGTGTCTGTGCAAGTGTGTCTGTGTACGTGTCACGCTGCATGCGCCGGTGTCACACATACACACGTACATGTATCGTGTACGGGAGTGCAGGACGCGCTTCTGCTTCTTGCCACCAAACGACTCGACAAGATGTGCGCGGGCCTGCTGCCGCTTCTCCGGAGTGTCCAGCGTCGGGTTTCGCGCCTGGTTCGCCTCAGCTGCAGGGCGTTGGCGCCACGCAGGGGCAAGCACGTGCATGACACAAACGGGGACGGATAAGCACATGTGATTCGTGCATGTGAGGGGCATATGGAGGAGGACGAGGGCGGTCAAAATGTAGGCCAATCACCCGAGTACAAATCACACTCACCAGCATCGGCCACACATACAGCACGGCACAACATCACAAAGGCGCACAAAAATGCACACAAATGCACACACACGCACGCACGCGCGCACACACGTAGACACGCGGGCCTTACTGGAGAGGCGTGGAGTCATTTCAAGAAGCGTTGCTGGGATAAGCTGCAGTTCGTTTGTGCCGGCTTTTCGTACCCCGACCATGTAGCTGTGCACACAACAAACGGGCATGCTGCATATGAGCTGTGACACAAGAAGCACAGAATTGTGTGTGTGTGTGTGTGTGTGTGTGTGTGTGTGTGTCGCAGGAATCGCACTCAGCAAATGAAGGCCCGCTTACTTTGTGTATCGCGAGCTTGGCATGGACACGTAGTCAATGGCGTCGGCGTGTGCGCGCTGCAGCGAATAAACGTTTGTCAAGCAGTAGTGAACAACAAACGGCTGTATGTGTGTGTGTGTGTGTGTGTGTGTGTGTGTGTGTGTGTGTGTGTGTGTCGCTGGCGTCGTACCACTTCGAGGGGTTCGTTGCTTGATGAGGATTTGCCATAGTTGCGGCGCTAGACCAGGTGCAAGCAGAGCACGGGTGAGCAACAAGAGCAGAAGAGGCATGAGTGCGGAGAGCGTAGGCATATCCAAACGCAAGGCGGGCGTCCATCACCTGCACACACATGCAACGCACCGATGTGAAGAGGAGCTGCTTGTTGGCGCTCTTGACATTCAGGTCTGCGTGCTTGAATTGCACTGTGATTCCAGAAAGGAGGTGCAGGGGGGAGGGGAGGGAGAGAAGCCAATGGGTTGAGCGTGGACTTGTGAAGTGATGCAGTTGTGAAGTTGTGGAACTGCACCACACACACACAAACACACACACACACACACACATACACACACATATGCACACACACACACACACATCACACATCCACACACATCCACACATCACATCACACTCAACCTTCACACGTGCGCATCACTCACGCAGTGGGGTGGACGGCACTTTGGTGTCCACTTTCACTTTCACAGCGTCAGCCATGATGTATAGCTTGGCTAGGTGGACCGACGAGAAGGCGAGGAAAGGGAGATGGGAGGAGGGAGAGAGAGAGAGAGATGGGAGGAGAGCCACAACCACGTCGAGCAGAGAACACAGGTCCACAGCAAGCAGCAACACGTGCACACGTCTTTTTGTTTGTGTGCGATTTTGCGTTCAAGACGAGAGACAAGACGATGGCGATGATGTTGCTGAGGCGGATGCGGGTGACCCTTGCTCGCCCGTTGCTCTGGCAGCACGCCCGCAGGACAATGGCTGCCAAAGGTCAGCAGTGTGTGTGTGTGTGTGTGCGTGTGTGCGTGTGTGTGTGTCTGTCTGTCTGTCTCTATGTGTGTGTCTGTGTCTGTCTGTCTGTCTGTCTGTCTGTCTGTCTTGTCTGTCTGTCTGTCTGTCTCTATGTGTGTGTCTGTGTCTGTCTGTCTGTGTATCTCTCTCTCTGTTTCTGTCTGTGTATCTCTCTCTCTGTTTCTGTCTGTGTATCTCTCTCTCTGTTTCTGTCTGTCTCTCTCTCTCTGTGTCTGTCTCTCTCTCTCTGTGTCTGTCTCTCTCTCTCTGTGTCTGTCTCTCTCTCTCTCTCTCTCTCTCTCTCTCTCTCTCTCTCTCTCTCTCTCTCTCTCTCTCTCTCTCTCTCTCTCTGTGTGTGTGTACAAGGCCGCAACATCCCTGCGCCCCTCTCATTGTCGTGCGTTCTGCCTGTGTACATTTCCCCTTGTCTCTTGTTTTCATTCAATCTCACACCCCACCTCTTTGCACTTCGTTCTCCCTTGTTCTGTGTGCAGCGTTGCCTACCACGTGCCCCGGCGCCAACATCAACGAAGGAGGCGAGGATCCAGAGCTGAAGCCCGACGACCAGGTGCCCTTCTTTACTCCAAGAGAAGCGTGTACACACACACACACACACACACACACACACACACACACACACACACACACACACACACACACACACACACACACACACACACACACACGTTGGCTGACCCTCACAATCCCACCCATGCTCGTCTTCTCCCTCCCTCCCCCGCCCTCTTTACCTTTCTGCACGACACAGTACCCGGAATGGCTGTGGTCACTGGCGGAAGCGCCCAAGACCTCTGCAGACTTTGACGCATCAGACAAGTACCACTGGAGGAAACGCGGAAAGGAGCACTGCAAGGACGACAACACCCTCAGAAAGCAGGGTGCTCGCTAACTTGCATCTTACCTTGCTCACTACCACACACACACACACACACACACACACACACACACGCCTTATGCACATAAGCATCCATTGTCTGCCCTGCTCTCTACTCTGCTCTGCTTTGCTTTGGTTCTTCTCGTGGTTCTCTGCTTTGTCTACCCATCTCTGTGTTGCGTGCTCTCGTCAGCCAATACAGACAGACGGAAGCAACAACAAGCCACTCGCTGCATGAAGTCAGCCACCTCGCCTTTTTTGAGGGTTGAACGCACCCCCCCCCCACGTATCTTGTGTTCCACGTGTGTACAGTCACCGCCGCCACCACCACCACCATCAACACAATCGAAAAGAGAAAAGAGAGAGAGATATAACATGTACCAGACTCGGCCCTAACAGCCATATGTGTGCAGCCCACCCACACCGCTACACACGGCACATCTCGCCCACCACCAGCACCACCACCACCACATGGTCATGAGGAGACAGGAAGCGATGGATCACCATGCAAAGTAGAAGTAGAGGAAGACGAGAACAACGACAGCGACGGCGATGACGGGCCAAAGCTTCGCCATCAGTGCCCGCCACTTGAGCTCCTCCGCAGACTGGCACGAGACGAAGATGAGGGGGGGGGGTGTGGAGATGGCGGTCATGGTGGTGGTGGTGGTGTTAGGAGGTGCAAAACACATGTGGTGTGTGTGTGTGTGTGTGTGTGTGTGTGTGTTTGGAGGTGTAAACCACATGGTGTGTGTGTTGACATGACAGTGCAAGCGTGCAAACGAACGACCACGCAGCGCAACGTACCCGGCGGTACTTCTGCGATTTCCCCTTGAGCGAGTCCGCCCTGTCAGACAAATCTGCACTCGCAACCGCACATGCACATGAATATGAGTTGCGGAAGCGACACAGCTGAGGTGATGCGTGCCCAAGTGGTGTCACCGTTCAGTGCTTGTCCCACCTCACCAAGCAACACACATACATACAGACATACATGCATACATACATACATACAGACATGCATGCATACATACATACATACATACATACATACATACATACATACATACATACATACATACATACATACATACATACATACATACATACATACATACATACAGACATACATACATACAGACATACAAACACACACGTATGCGCGCACACATCAGACGGACCATCGAGCCGCTCGCCCCTGTCCAGAACTTCGTCGATGTTGCGACGCATGATGCGCTGATGCACACGATGTCACAGTCGGCATCGGGACAACACGGCAGACGGAGGCGGTGCGAGGAATGAATGGCAATGGCTTGCAATGGCATCCATTTGAAGCACACACACATGCATGCACATCTCCATACACGCACATGCTCATCTGCACACACACACACACACACATCCACACACACACACACACACTTCCGCACACACATCCACACATAAAATGCATGCACGCGCTGACTGACCTGGACATCTTGGAGTTCGTTGTTGATGCGCGCGAGGTTGCGGTGCGCTGTTCTTGAGTCCTCATACGACCGCCGCAGCTTCTGCATCCGAGATTCTGTCATTACCCGCAAAGGAGACACGTCAGTGCCAGTGCAGACGGTGGAGATGATGCACAAACGTCCCGCCACGGCACATGCACACACACACACACACTTGTGTATGTGTACATCATAGTCGGACCCTCATACCAAATCCGATGAACTTGTATGGACGCGTTGCCGTCGCCACTTGCGCACCATATTCCTCCTGAACACCGCACAAGAACGTGAACACATGAGCGTGGCGTAAACCAAGGCAGCGAAGGCGTCCGTTTGAGAGAAGGGGCCAACAACAGGTTGGGCAAACGCAGATGCACGTACGAGCACACGAGTACGTGTCTACACGTGCAAGGGCACACTTGGCCAAAAAAAAAAAGCGGACGCAGGATACGCATGCGCAATCATGTACGTTCGCACACACACACACACACACACACACACACACACACACACACACACACACACACACACACACACACCTCAAACTCTTTGTGAAGTGTCTCCAGAAAGGCAAATGCCATCTTCTTTGAAAAGTCTTTGTCACAAAGCACCATGTAGCACACGCCATTCTCAACATAGTAGCTGTTGTCAAAGGCAAGTGGCATGCCCGTGGGTTTGAGAAGGTGTGGATGGTCTTCGTTGTGCACTTGAGGTTACTTCCCCACAGCCACAACAACATTCTCACTCGCACGAGCACACACACGCACGCACGCACGCACACACACACACTCTCTCTCTCTCTTCTACACACAATCTCTTACATTTACACCCGCACTCACTCTCTCATCCCCCAGCTCCATACACATTCAAACATGCACACTCTTTCCCATCCTCCTCCAAGCTCCACACGCGCATGCGCACGCTTGAGGACGACAACACGGATAACGGCCGACTCACTGGAAAACAAACGGCGAGTTGGTGTCGATGGTGCATCGCTGTGGGTTGCTTGGCTGTGTGATTTTCCTCAGGATCTTCTTTGCCTGCACCTTGAATGGGCGCAGGGAGGGATCCTCCTCCAAGCTCTCTGCCAACGGCAACCCATCGTCCGCTCGCGCAATCAGGATCTGCCGAAACATCCCGTGTGTCTGTCTGTGTCTGTGTCTGTTTGTGTGTGTGTGTGTGTGTGTGTGTGTGTGTGTGTGTGTGTGTGTGTGTGTGTGTGTGTGTGTGTGTGTGTGTGTGTGTGTGTGTGTGTGTGTGTGTGTGTGTGTGTGGTGAAGGTGTGACAGTCGTTGTTGGCGGTGTTGGCAGTCGTCGCTACATTTTATGCTGTCGCCTCACCAACGCGCATCCAACTCGACAGCGCCTACCGCCGCCGCACAACAACACGCCCCTTCCTCTTCCGCTTCTTGTGGCCGCGCGTGTTGTCGCTGTTCGTCCTGCTGCAGTTGAGCTGGAAGCACGCACACAAAGGTGTGTGAATGCTATGTGTATGGCGCTGTTGTGATCGCTGTGTGTATGAGCGGTTGGGTGTTGTTTGGTGTGTGCTATTTGGTGTGGATTGTTGGGTGTGTGTTGTTTTGTCCTCACATGCTAGGTGTGTTTTGCCTGTAGCGTGGCCAAATCACGATCCGCCGTCATGTGTTTGGCGGAGTCTTGTGTATTGTGTCATTGGATATTCGCCATGTGCGTGTGACTGTGTTGATTGTGGTCTGTTACCTCTTCCCTTCTTGTGTGTACAAACACACGTTGTGCATCACCCTCGCTTCGCTCACACTTGCGGACACCATGCCTTTTGTGTCCTTCTCTTGTTTATTGTCCCTTGCCTTCTGCTTCCTGTGATTCTTGCTCTTGTTCTTGGGCTTGTCTTCATCACGTTGTGGCAGGCGAACAGCAAGTCCCAACGCTCATCAGTGATGCGGTTGAGTGCTTTCGCGACGGTGGCGTCGATTGCCGCCGTCATCCTCGGACTCACCTCAGCTGTCACCGCTCAGGACTCCGCCTGCGAATGTACGCGGTCGCTGCTGCTTCTGTCGTCGTCGTCGTCGTCATCGTCGTCGTCGTTGTTGTTGTTCTTGTTGTTCTTGTTGTTCTTGTTGTTCTTGTTGTTCTTGTTGTTCTTGTTGTTCTTGTTGTTCTTGTTGTTCTTGCTCTTGTTCCTGTTCTTGTTCTTGTTGTCCTTGTTGTTCTTGTTGTTCTTGTTCCTGTCTCTCTCTCTCTCTGCCCCTCTGCCCCTCTGCGCCTTTGCTCCTCTGTCCCTCCATCTGGCACAAACACATGCCCCTCCCCTTTCTTCCTTCCCCTCGTCTGACAGGGAGCCGCGCGTGCCCCGTGTCGCTGCGGCCAAGCACATCTGTGCTGGTAGCGGTGCAAGTCAGCAGCGTCAACGACTTTATCAACGAACGCATTGATCTGGATACAGGCGCGCCTGCGACCGCCGACGAGGTCCACGTGCAGTTCAGGAACAACATGATCCTCACAGGCGCCAACACAACACAGAGCGTCACCTTCTACTCCCCAGCTGGCAGAGCCATTGCGGTGCGCACGTGTGTGTGTGTGTGTGTGTGTGTGTGTGTGTGTGCGTACATGTGTGTGCGTGCGTGTGCGTGTGTGTGTGTGTGTGCAAATGCTTGTATCCGTGTGTGTGCGTGTGCGTCTGCTTTGTGTCTATGCGTGTCTGTTGGCTCCCATTTTGCGCCCATACCCCTTTCTCTTCCCAGTTGCTCTTCCCAGTTGCACAACCCCTCCCCCCCCCCCCCCCAAAAAAAAAAAGCACACCCTCATCTGCTCACCCGCCTGTACGTTGCACCGCATCAGGTGTCTGAGGCGGCGCCCGCAGCGGTTGCGTTCCTGGCCAGCGAGCAGTGGATCAGCACCGCCACCACTGCATGCCTCTGCCACGCGCAGCCAGACGCAACGCCGCTGATCGACGTCGCAAACTACGCAACGTACGACCCTGTCGTGAACAATCACACATCCACAAAGCACACACAAACGAACACTCAAAGAACTATGCCGACACAATGAAAGGCGTACATGCGCACATTCACACACCACACACAAGAGACGTTTACGCCACACACAAACACACACCACACACAAGAGACGTTTACACCACGCACAAACACACACACACATCTACTCGTAAAGACCGCCACAATACCCTCACTGCCCTCTCCCAACCCCCACCTTACCCCAACTACAGCATTCGGGTGCACCTTGACCTCGAGTTTATGGTTGACCGGACCCCCTCGTGTGCGCTGCGCTTTGAGAACACGACGCGCGTGTGGACCGTGGATGCGTCGCTGTATGCGGACATCGCCGTCAACAGCAGCACCACCGCCCTCCGTCTTCAGTCCATCGATTGCGGCAACACCGCCACCCCGACGGCCGTTCGCTTCACCGCCGTTGCCGCTCGCCCCTGCGACATCCCCGGCTGCGTTGCCTGCAAGCAAGACGGCGTCACGTGCGCGGCGTGCTTCAACCCGGCCACGCTCGCCTCTCCCGATGCGTATGCGGATGCACACGTGTACAGCGGAAACGGGTTCACCTACCTTGCCCTCGACGGCACGTGCACGTCGGCGTGCGAGCAGGGCACGTTCCTCAACACCACTGCCGGTGCCTGCATGCAACCGCGCACGTGCACCATGGACGACGAGTACGAGAGCGCGGCGCCCACAGCCACCTCGGACCGGGAGTGCACGCCGGTCACCACGTGCGATGAGCAGGCTGAGTTTGAGCTGACGGCGCCGACAGCAACGAGCGACCGCATCTGCAGCGCGCTGCTCCCCTGCGACAACGGCACCATGCGGGACCCGGCCAACCCGGCCGTGTGCCGGCAGTGCCAGCAGGGCATGCGCTACGATGCCGACGCAGAGGCCTGCGTGCCACTCGCCGCAAACGAATACGAGGTGCGTGCCGTGAACGGCACCACAAGCGAGATCCGCACGTGCGACTGCGCGGGCCCGTGCGTGCGGTTCATCAACGACACGGTGGATACGGTCACGTGTGTCCCGGAAGGGTGCGCCGCCGGGGAGATCAAGGAGCACTTCTTCGCCCCAGACAGCACCTGCACCAGCTGTGGGCCCGGACACGAGATCCCGACCACTGGCAGCTTCTACGGCACGTGCGACATGTACACCTGCCCCTCCAGCACGTACGACCACGATAGCGACCCCAGCACGGCGTGCCGCGTGTGCGATGCTGGCAGCGAGATTGTGACCACGGGCTCAACATCAACGTGTGTGGCGTGCGCGGGCAACACCACCGACGACGATTACGATGCGTCGACTCCGTGCGTGTTGTGCAACGAGTTTGTGGTGGGTCACGCGGGCCCCTGCTCTCTGGTTGCCTGCCAGGCCGGTGCCACCCTTGTGGCGGGCCTGTGCGTCCCCGTTGGGTGTCCGCCCGGGGAGGAGCGTGTCGGCGGCGCGTGCCAGCCGTGCGCTGGTGGCCACTTCAGCATCGGCCCTCGCCAGCCGGCTTGCGTGCCCCACAACCCGTGCAGCAGCGGCACGTACGAGCGCGCTGCGCCCACGGCCACCTCGGACCGCGTGTGCCAGCAGTGCTCGGCCGGGTGCACGTGCACCGCGACGGACGAGACGTGTCCCGGCGGCACGCAGCAGTCGACCGGCGGCAGCACCGCATCCACATCCGGCAGCGGCACAGACTACCTCCCTGTCGGCGCAGGCGTCGGGGTTGGGCTCATCCTGGTGAGCGCGCTGGTTGGCCTCGTCATCGCTCGCAAGCGGCGCGGGTCGAACAAGGCAGGGGACAGGATTGCCATGACCAGCAGCCACAACTTCGACCGGCAGCGACCCTTTTACGAGAACTCCTCCCAGCAGCAGCAGCAGCAACAACAACAAGAACAAGTGCAATACGAGTACGCAGACACGCCACGCATCCAACAGACGGTGTGTGTCTGTGTGTCTGTGTCTGTCTGTCTGTGTGTGTGTTTGTGTGTGTGTGTGTTTGTTTGTATGTGTGTGTGTGTCTGTTTGTCTGTGTTTGTGTGTGTGCGCTTGTGCATGTTTACCTCTGCGTCTGCCTCTGTGTGTGTTTGTGTGTGCTTGTGCGTGTTTACCTTTGTGTGTTTGTGGTTTTGAGTGTGACAACCCTCTCTTGCCTGCGCTGCTGTCCTTGCGTGTTGTGTGATGTCCTGACCTCCCTCCCTTCCCCCCCCCCCCACCTTCCCGCATTCCATCGTGTACGTGTGCGCCCTCCACAACAGAGCATGGGTGGCGGCGGCATGTATGAGGAACTTGACAAGCCTGCATCCGAGAACATGTACTCGTCCGTTCGCCCAGACGGCCGGGTACGTTTTACGAATGGCAGCCCCCCCCCCCACTTGTCTCAACCATTATCTCTCGTCTTTCGTCTTGGACTTGTGCCCTTCGTTGCAATGTTTTGTTCTTGCACGTCGCGCATCCCCTTGCTGCTCATGTCTGTTCCGGTTGTACCTCACGTTTGAGGCACACGATTACCGCTGCCCTCTTGTGCTGTTGATGTTGTTTGCGGTTTGTGGTTACAATCGGGCAGGCGCCGCGTGCCGGTGGCCAGGACACATCCAGCATCTACGCAAGCGTCGACCAGCAAGCCGACGTGGTACTGAAACAACGATGCTTCCGTCTGTTTGTCTGTGTGTATGGGTGTGTTAATGTGTTTGTGTGTGTGTGTGTGTGTGTGTGTGTGTGTGTGTGTGTGTGTGTGTGTGTGTGTGTGTGTGTGTGTGGCGCCTTGTATCATCCCCTCACGCCCAGCCGACCTGCTCATCTTCGCCACTGTGCACCGCTTGGTTCAGCCGCAAGCAGCTGGTGGGCGGCACGAAGGAATGGACATCTACGGATCCGCCATCGAAGACCCCTCTGCGCTCTACTCCGTCCCCGTCAAGACAAAGAAGCCAGAACACCCAGATGGGGTGGGTTTTGTTTGTGTGTGTGTGTATGTGCGTGTGTGTCTTTATTTGTGTGTGTGTGTGTGTGTCTTTATTTGTGTGTGTGTGTGTGTGTGTGTGTGTGTGCATGCGTGTGCATGTGTGTGTGTGTCTGTCTCCGTGCGCCTCCTTGTGGCCGTGACCCAACGCTCACCCTCTCACTGACACAATCCGTTCCCCACCCCCTTTCGCCCAAACACACACACACACACACACACACACACACACACACACACACACACACACACACACACACACACACACACACACACACACACACACAGCTCATCTACGCAGACCTCAAGTTCGTGCAAGGGTCTGCGGAAGGTGGCATTGACCAGACCGGTACCGGGACCGCTGCATCTGGTGGCATCAGTGGCGGGGCGTTCCGGGAGACGGTGCGCGGGCAGCGGCCGCAGGAGGACACACAGTATGCGAGCGTGGACCAGCTGCGAACCCTGCAGGCGCAGCAGGCAAACGAGGGCGGCAGCAGCGTGCTGGACCAGAAGGAGGTCGAATACCAGAACGTGGACGAGTTTGCCTGATGCCATGGCCGTGCGGATGTGCTGATGTGAATTTGATGTTGTTACAACACACTCTTGTTTCAGGTGATGGTGATGAGGAGGAGGAGGAGGCGGAGGCGGCTCTGGTTTCATGTTTTGTTGCGCCTTGCCCTGTTTTTCTGTGCTGGAAGTGGGTGTGGGTGTGATTGGGCGAGCAAAAGTGAGTATGAGTGAGCGAGAGTGTGAGGAAGAGGGGTTTGGCGTGGGTAAGAGGGAGAGAGAGAGGCAGGGTGTAGGATGTGAGAGTGGAGCATCCAAACAAGAGCCTTCGAGAGAACGAAGAGTTGTGCGTTTTTGTTTTGGTTGCGATGGTGATGACTCATCAATTAAACGATCCCGCGTCCTTGTGCCAATACCACGCACCACTTTTCGCCAACGCCCACACACCACACGCACGCACGCACACACGCACCCAAAGAAGAAACCCATGTCGTCGCAACAGGCCCTCCCCCCTGTGAGTGTGGGAGTTGCCTGATGAGCGGTGGTGCACGTTTGCTTTGTTACACGTGTGCTACCTCGCCGACTGCCTCATTAGCTGCCTTGTGCCACAACTCACCATGTCCACGCTTGGTTTTGAATGTCAACATCACCACGACAACACTCAGGGGTGGGAGATGCGGTATGATGGCAACGGACGGCCATACTTTGTGGACCACAACCTGCGTCGCACAACGTACGACGATCCACGCCAACAACGTAAGCCGCGCGCACCCGCAGCCCACCAAAAACACTCTCGCACACACACACACACACACACACACACACACACACACACACACACACACACACACACACACACACACACACAAACCACGTTGTGCTGTCCATAGAGGAGGAAGCAGCACATTAAGTCATGGAGACTACAGTCACACCCCACATCAACAATGCACCCATTCAATCCACCAACCCTTGCCAATGAATTTCATTGTTTCGTTTATATCACATGCACATACCACGCACCCACGCACGCACACAACGCATGCACACACCATTACATTCATGAACCACACAACGATACACGACACACACAACAACACACACACACACATAAATACAACACGAACACACACATAAATACAACACGAACACACACACACATACATACATAAATACAACACGAACACACACACACACACACCACGATACGACACACACCCATACATGAACACAAAAACAAACAAACCCCACACGCAAACACACAACACACGCACGTCCATCTATCACCACCACCACCATCAAAAACAACAACAACAACAACAACAACAACAACAACAACAACAACAACAACAACAACAACAACAACAACGCCATGTTTCCCCAGCACCTGCAAGTACACCTTACCCGGTTGCTTCTCCTTACCAGCAGCAGCAGCAGCAGCCGCCCCAGCAGCCTGCGCGCCCACCGGCAGCCCCACACCTGCCCATGCCAACACCCCCGGCGTCCTCCAGCCAGCCCCCGCACCTGCCAATGCAGCCACCACAGTCGCAGTACCCGGGCTCACACGCGCCACCACAGCCGTCCGGATCCTCGTCATATCCGAGCCAGTACCAGCAGAGCGCATATCCAGGTGGCCCGCCGCCACCACACCAACAGCAGCCGCACCAGCAATACCCACCACAGCAAGCGCCGTATGTGCAGCAGCCACCGCAACAGCAGGGGTATCCAAGCGCCCCAGGTAGCTCATATGCACCGCCGGCCTCATCCTCATACCCGCCACCAGCACAGCAGCCATACCCGCACCAGCCGCACCAGTCGTACCAGCAGCAGCCGTATCAGCAGCCGCAGCAGCAGCAGGCTTATGGATATCCTCCACAGCCCGGTGCCCCGCCACCACAAGGGTATCCGCAAGCACAGCAGCCGTCTGCTGGTGGCCTCCACCGCGTGCCCACAGCGTATGTACTGATTGCTGCATGTGCTGTTGCTATTGAGATTGATGGTGATGACCACGCCGGTGATGTGTGTGTGTGTGTGTGTGGGTGTGGGTGTGGGTGTGGGTGTGGGTGTGTGGGTGTGGGTGTGGGTGTGGGTGTGGGTGTGGGTGGGTGTGTGGTGAGGGCTTGTTTGCTGTTTTGTTCGCTTGCGCCTTGCACCACACGTGTGCAACACCACGGCTGTGACACCACGGTTGCTTCTAGACCTGTGCCGTGTCGTGTGCCGTGTGCCGTGTGCGATGCACGTGACCACGCTGCCCTCCTCTCCCTCTTCCTCGTCCTTCCTTCTTATCACCATTGGCTCTTACTGTTGTGTGCGTGTGTGCGTGTGCGTGTGTGTGTGTGTGTGTGTGTGTGTGTGTGTGTGTGTGTGTTGAATGTTAGGGAAAAGCGCGGCGCGGCTGCACGTGCCTTCCAGATGTACGATCGTGACCGTTCCGGAACCATCGACCGCAACGAGTTTTACCAGGCACTCAACTACCTGGGCGCATCCCTCTCCTGGGTAAGACGCGTGCCTGTGTGCTGTGGTTTTGTGTCGTTGTGTGGCTGTCTTGTCTGTCTGCCTCTGTCTGTGCATTGTCATACCGGCTTCAGTGACTCTCACGCCCTCCTTAACATGCACACACACACACATGCACGCACACCCCGATACACAAACGCCGCTTACATTCTGCTCGTGACAACAGGCGGACGCGTGCGCGGTGTATGATATCCTGGACACCAACAGGGATGGCACCATCACCTTTGCCGAGTTTGTGGACTACTACGTCGCAAACTTCTGAACGCGTGTGTGCGCACCGCACCACGCGACCACAAGCACACGATGAAAATGCATGCTTGCCCTGCTTGCCATGCTTCCACATCTTTCTTGTGTCACCACTCGCCATCCCCTGTCTTCCTTCTCAATGTTTCTCATAAGCTTCCCACCTGTCGTATCATGTCAAGTTCACGATTCGAACGCCACCACTCAAGTTGTCGGCCCTCTTCATTGGGTGGTAACCACATGTGCGCACGCGTGAATACAACGAGCAAGATGACACAAGAAAAACACAAGTGTTGGTGTGGCACGTTGGTTGATGAAAGCATCAGAGAGGCACGGAGAAAATCAGAGACTGACAGACAGAGGGCAGGCGCAAAGTGGTCTCAACGAAGAGTGCTGTGCACATGCATTGGCGTGACGACATGAGGGATTTGTTGAATTCAACGAAAAGCAAGTGGTGCAATGCAGTCGAGCAAGGGGAACTAAGAAAAGGTGCGCACAAACAACAGCACGTTTATCGCCGCGCTTGTTTGGGTGTGCCGCTCCTGATGCAGGGCTGTTCATGGCGATGAAGACGTCGATGGTTCATGCGGGCTGTGCACATGTAACGAAGGAGAAGGGAGAAAAGTACAAATGAGTGTTTGAGCTCCACAATCGCAGCAACGCACCCGTAGATACGGCACCTCTCACATTACATCAGTCAAGCACACACACACACACACACACACACACACACACACACACACACACACACACACACACACACACACACACACAAAACACATGCACGCACAAACAAACACGCACAAACAAACACGCACAAACACAAACACGCACAAACACGGGTGTTGGAACGTACAGAGCGCTCGACAAAGTAGTCTGCAATGGCGCTGCCCTTTGGCTCCTTGCAGAGGCAGGCAATGACATCGCGAAGGGCAACAACGCCAACGGGGTGCTTCTTGTCGTCAACAACAAACACGCGGTGCACCTGTGTGCTAATGAGGCGGTCGACCACATCGCCCAGCGTCGACTCAAGCGTGCAGCACACCGTCTGAAGGGTGGTGGTGGAGAAGGGCGCGAGGGGGAGGGGGGACGTGATGAGAGATCTGAGGACAAGCAACAGAGAAGCAACAAACGAGCAACAAACGAGCAACAAACGAGCAACAAACGAGCAACAGACAAGACAAAGACAAAGAGGAAAGTGGTGTATCGCACCACAAACCACGCAAGCACACACTTTCAACATCCTCACTCCCAGCGCCGCAGCAGATCACAACGTCACAACACACGACGGCACGAACGCACCTCGACGTCGAATGGGGCGACGTGGAGGTCGTTGAAGAGGCTGAGGGGCTGGTTGACGAAGCGAAGGCGGGTTGGACGGACAATCATCAGGCGCGCGTCACGCGAGGACACAACACCGACGTTCACGCCCGTGTCGTCCACAACAGGCAGCGCACTCACGCACTGTTGGCAAGCAGGGTGGATTTTGAAGGAAGGGGGGTTGAAAGAAGGGGCGTGTGAGCGACCACGTGGGAGAACAGGGCGCGGGAACACACAATGACACACACACACACAAGGCGACAGACACAGGGAGGGACACACAGAGTCATACAAGCATACACACACACACACTATCATACACACACAATCATGCACACGCAATCATAAACGCACAGTCATACACACACAATCATACAAAAGAAGCACGCACCTTCTCGCGCATGAGCTTGAATGCTGTCCAGAAGGTGTCGTCCGTAGTGACGGTGACGGGCGCCTTCTGGCCAAGGCCAAGCTGCTTCAGGGTGCGGTTCATGGTGGACGCCATGCGCTCCTTGTGCTCATGCAGGAACTTGACAACAGCGCTCTGCGTGATGACGTTGGTGATGTCCCCGCCTGCATGGGCGATGCGAAGTGTTCAGTGTTGTGTGGTGGTGAGTTGGCGTGCACAGGATTGTGGGTGGGTGGGAGAGGGTGGTTTACGTGGGATGGTGAAAGAAAGGAAGAACGTGCAAGCAACACAATGCACGGAACAAACTGCAACTCTGACTGTTCTCACACACACACATGTATGCACACATATGGACACACACACACGCATGCATGCACGCATGCACGCACGCATCCAATTGGCGCGACACTGACAGGTGTGAACGATGTATGCGCGGTGGAGGGCGTATTTGCCAAGGAGCAGCATGACGTCGAGCATGGTGCTGCGCTCCTCATCCAGCGGCACAAACGGCGAGAACCGGCTCGTGTCTGCATGCAAGCAAACACAACGAAGCAAATGCACCGTAGTGAGAAAAGGACACGGGAAAGTTCGAGACACACAGACACACATAGACACGCACAGACACACAGACACACACAGACACACAGACACATATACACACAGGCGGCGAAGCAAAAACAGGGTGTGAGTGAGGGTGCATCATGGCATTCAACGTACTTGGATCGGCGTCCATGACCTCTGAGATGGGGCTGGTGGTGAACTCTTGGCGGAGGAGGTCCTCCACACTCTCTGGTGGCACGCCGTCCACTTGGTCCAGCATCCAGTACATCAGGTTCACCGCATCAATGGTGCCCTGTGAATCAAGGAAAGTGTTGTTGTTGTTGTTGTTGGAGTTGATGGTGCAGTGAGCGTGTGAGCATGCGTGAGAACGAGGCAGCAAGTCAGAGATGAAACAACCCTCGCACAAAGCAAGCAAACATGCACAAAGCAAGCAAAAACACATGCACAATGCACACACACACACAAACCCGAAATGCTCACCCACAGCCACAATTCACGGAGAGCACACACACACACACATACACATACACACACACGAGTCAACGTACGACGTATTTGTCAAGCCAGCTCTCGTCTTCCTTGGCGTCTGGCTTTGCCACGGGGGCACTGAGGATGTTGTGTTGGGCGAGCAGGCGTGTGGCATCGCGCACGGACATGTCCGCGGTCACGGTGACCACTTTGCCGAGTGCGGGCTTTGGCAGCACGGTGAGCTGAGTCAGCTCAAAGAACTCGTTGTAGAGCTCCGTCACGCCTTCTGGAAGAGACATGGCTGTTGGTATTGGCGACTTGTGGGCTGTGTGGTGACTTGTGTGCGACGTGCGGGCGTATGCGGGTGATCGAAGGGAAGGATGTGATGTTGTGATTCACAATTCGGCCGTGCGTTTGCTTGGTTCTTTGGCTGGCTGGGTTGATGGGTCTGCTTGGTTGGCTGTTTCACAGGCTGGGTGAGGTGCAAGGAGAGGTTGGGAAAGTGAACAGGAGAAGGAGATTGGATCAGGGAAGGCAAGAGCAGCAATGTGAATGCAAGCAAGGCACTACTGCAGAAGCAATCGTGGAGGCATCGAAACCAAAACAAAACCTTCCCGCAGCAACAACTTGCTTGCGCACTGGCGCAACGCACCATGAAGCAATCAACCTGCACACTCCTCCATGACGCAAGCACGACAGGTGCACACACGAAAACAAGAAGAACACGTTTTGGTCTTTGAGGGCGTGGCTGGCTTGCGCCGAGTTAAAAATAGACTTGCCCGTTTTTGAAGGCGGACAACGGACAATGCGCACCGCTCGCTGGTCGCTGCTGCTGCTCTGCTTCGTTTGGTTTGGTGAGATGAGATGAGAGCAGATGGCGACGATGGAAAGGGAAAGGTAAGGAGGGAGCACGGGCAGCAGCGTTCATTTTCTCCTCGCTCGCGCCAGCCCCTTGACCATCACCCTTCCCTTTGATCGACAATCAGGCTGTCCGCCGAATCCAAAAAGCAACCGCACAACAACAAGCGACGCCAACAGCCAAGATGGAGTCGATGCACACGTCCCCGCCTCCGCCTCAAGCACACGAACAAGGACAGGACCAGGCACAAGCCACCGCCATGGAGACGCCGTCGCAATCCCCCTGCCAAGACGAAGGCCACAACAACGACAGCGGGTCCCCGTTGCCAAAGCAGAGCAAGACGCTGGCCCAGGAGGACGAGGACACCGAGGCAGGACGGCGCGCTGCCATGGATGAGGAGCAGGAGCAGGAGGAGGAATACCAAGACCACGACCCCGAGTTTCTCCAAGAGGAACACGAGGACGACGAGGAGGAGGAGGACAACGAGGATTATGCACACCAGGAAGGCTACCGTCATGATGTCGTCGGTGCTCGGGGTCCTGGCACGGTTCGTATGAGTAGCCCAGAGCTCTTGCATCGCCTCGTCATGCACGGCAAGACGTAAGTATTCGTGTCAGAGTGCGTGCAACTTGCATACAGGTGTGCATGCGTGCGTGTGTGTCTGTGTGTCTGTGTGTCTGTGTGTCTGTGTGTCTGTGCTGTGTGTGTGTGAAAGTACATGCTGCTGTGCATGGGAATCATGACCACATGACCTCACTCGAACCGTCACAACTTCGTGTTTTCCCTCGTATTGTTGCACTGCATAGGTCGCAGATGTTTGAGCTGCGGTTTGTCATGCACCAGCATCGCGTCACCGCTGCGGATGAGGCCCGTCGCGTCGTGCAGGCGAACCTCCAGCGACGCCTGTACGCAAACCAGTTTGCATTGTTTCCTACGCCGTGTCTGTGTGTGCGTGTGCGTGTGTGTGTGTATGTTCGTGTGTGCGATTGAGTTTGCAATGCAAGACTGCACTTCCCCAAGCTGTGGCTTACTGCGGGTGCCTTCCAACATGCAAACACACACGCACACACACACACACACACACACACACAGCGCGTCAGCGTCCGAGGAGCACGACGAGGACGAGGACGATGAACGGCTCTCCACTGCCTCTGCACCCATCAGCGCAGCCCACCACGATGGCGCTGGGGGTGATGAGGACGCTGACACGCTGCTCCACACCATGCCGCAGAGCAGGCACTCATCACAGCCGTCCACCTCTTCCTCAGACTGGGCCTTTGACCTCTTCCAGGAATTGCTGCTCAGCAACAGCGGCAGCAACAACGGCAGCAGCGGCGGCAGCGCCTATGGCGGTGACTCCCCCGTGGGCTCGCTGAGCAGCAGCCCCGGCACGGTGCGCCGCCATGCCGGCAGTGGCGACGACGGCAGCGAAACAGACACGGGCAGCGAGGACGGGACATCGGAGCTGGCCAGCATCTTCGGCGGCACGGTGCACGGCGCAGTCACGCCGCAGACGCACGCGCAGATGGCCGAGGCCGATCGCACCGCCCGTCTCAACGACGTCGCAGCCATGGCCACACAGGTGAGCAGCACATGTATATGTGAATGTGTGTGTGTGTGTGTGTGTGTGTGTGTGTGTGTGTGTGTGTGCGTGTGTGTCTGCACCCTTCTGCCTGCCTGCCTGCCTGCCTGCCTGCCTGCCTGCCTGCCTGTGAGCGACATTTTCAGGGCATCTGCTTGTGTTTGTGTTTGTGTTTGCGCTTGTTCCCCGCCACTACCCGCAGCTCAACCATCCCTCCTCCTCTTTCCTCAACCCTCCTTGTGCCATTCCAGTCCCGGGTGCGAGAGGTGTTGACAGGTGAGCGCCGCGCTGCGCTCGAAGCGCTGTTCGCCGCACCAGAGCCGTCACCGTTATCTTCGTCGTCGTCCTCATCCACCACCACCACGACGCGTCGCGGCCCCCCACCGCCGGTCCGTCCACGCGTGCGCAGGACTGTCAACCCTCAGCAGCAGCAGTCGACTGCAGCACATGCGGAGGAGGAGGAGGAGGACGGAAGTGATGACGACGGTGCCAGCGGCAACCCCGAGCTGGCTGAGTTGCGGGGCCAGGGCGTGGTGTCGCGCATGCTTCGGCGTCGCTTCTTCATCACCAACGTCAATGCTTCCCTGGCCACTGCCAGCCACAACCTCGGGCCCCAACGTTACGATGTCTGGCGTCAGATCACGCACACCATCAACAGCCGCCGTGGAGGCAGTCAGCAGCCACAACCGGCGCAGACTTCACAGCAGCAGCCACAGCAGCCACAACAGCAGCCACAACAGCAGCCACAACGGCAGCAGCGTCCGCCACTTCCGCTGCCGCAAAGCCGGCCGCAGCCTGAGGAGCATCAGCGTCAGGCAGCAGCCACACCGGCACACCGCGGCGGCGATGATGGCCATGCTGGCAGCGGTGTTCGCGCGCCAATCCCACAACAGCGAAATGTTCGCCTGCAAGATGCACACGCACGCGCCCCACAGCGTCGCCCAGGGGCGCGCAACACGGAGATGACGGTGCGATGGCGATGTTGATGATGTATGGGGTTGTTTGGTTGTATGTGGCGTTGCATGTTTGCTTTACTGTATTTGTGTAGCACACGCTTGTCGATGCTCGTGCGCATGTTTATTGCATGCGTGTGCTCGTGCTGCATTCCCAGTCTGTATTGGTGGCTGCATTGCGGGTTTCGTCAGCCTACTGATGCTTTTGCTCTGCTTCTTGTCGTGACCACAGCACGAGCTGTCGCAGCTGCTTGCGTCCCATCTCGTCCAGAACATGCTGCAAGGTGCGTGTGCGTGTCTGCACATGTTGCCCATGACATGCGTACGCAACACGTTGCGTCGCAACTGTCGCTCACAAGTCGTCCAGCAGATGACTGTACTGTTCGTTGTCCTCTCACCTCCGCGCTTCCTCCACTTGCTTTCACCCTTGTCTAGGTAACTTCCGCACGGTGCTTGAGCTCCATCTGCGCAACGCCCGTCTCCGCCGCCAGAACCAGGCAGACCAAGCCACCCCTCGCACCCGCACAGCCTGGCGTCCACGCCAACAGCAACAGCAGCAACAGCAAGAACAGCAGCAGCAGCAACAGCAACAGCCGGCTGAGCCTGTCCGTCGCCCCTCCCCGTAAGCATTTTCAATGTGTTGTATTGTCTGTGTGGCATGAGTGCAAGTGCAAGTGTGGCTGCGGGAACACCTCGCACCACAAGCACGACAGGCTTGTGTTCCCATATCCTCATCACACCAAATAATCACGCGTCAATGCGACACCTCATCAAGTCGACACACACTCCCCCCCCCCCCGCCAACCCGTTCCTCCTCCAGCGCGGCCGGTGGCGGGAGTGCAGCGCTGCTGGCCCGGCGCGTGGACGACCTCACGCGGCAGATGGCGGACCTCGTGGCGCTGGTGCAGACAACCTACCAGAGCCAGCTCACCATGGAGCGCTCGCTTCGCCAGGAGGTGGCGGCAGCCCTGCACGGCAACCCCCCGCAAGCCGCGTCCCGTCCCGCTCAGGGCAACAGGTGTGTTGTCTGCCTGCAGGACCAGGCGGACACCATCATGTACCGCTGCGGACACCTCTGCGCCTGCAACAGCTGCGCCACGAAGATCCTGGTGAGTCATCGGTGTGCACTGGATGTGCCCGTGCGTGCTTGCGCTTGTCTCATGCATGCTTGCGGTTGTTTCTGTACATCTGCCACGTGTGCGTCCCCACCCGTTTTCTCACTACCATCACCACCACCACCACCACCACCGATACCACTCCTTCCCCTACTCCTCCTACTCCCCCTCCTTAGGCGGATGGTCACGCGTGCCCGTGCTGCCGTGCTCCTGTCACGGATGTCCTGCGCGCATACATGCCTTGAGCGTCGTGTCGTCTAATCACAGGACCACCACGCACACACACGCACCCTGTTCTCATTTACATTGAAACTCTGTTGATTGGCTGCTGTGATTCCTTACTTGATTGTCTTCCTTGATGGTCTTCCTTGCTTGTCTTCCTTGCTTGTCTTCCTTGCTTGCTTCTCTTGCTCAAACCATCGTGATCCCTCCGTGTTGACTGGTGGTCAACAAACCAACCAACAACCAACAGACAGTACAAGAACACCAACACAAGCTGCCATTAAAGTCAATTTTGACTTTTGACACAAAGTCAATTTTGCCGAGAAACTTCCAGCAACACAACAGCACAACACCCAATATGAGCGCGCGCGACATCATCCGACAGCAGCTCGAGGAGCTCATGGGCGCTGAGGCCATGGGAACAGGTGAGTCTGCCTGCCTGTATGTGTGTGTGTGTGTGCGCGCATCTGTGTGTGTATGTGTGTGTGTGTGTGTCTGTGTGTGTCTGTGTGTGTGTGTGCATGCGCGTGTGCATGCGTGCGTGTGCGTGTGTGTGTGCGTCTGTCTATTGCTGTTCGCAAACACTCGTGTCAGCGCACACAACTACAATCACTCTCACACGCGCGCACACTCGCACCACCCCCTTCTCCCTCCCTTTCTGTATGAAAGGCACGAGCGTGAAGGACGTGGATGATGAGCGGAACTGCAGGTTCTACCTGGCTGGGCTTTGCCCACATGAAGTGTTCAGCTCCACGGTACGTGTATGTGTGTATGTGTGTGTGTGTGTGTCATGTTGTCAAAATCATGTTGTTCTGACACACACTAGTACACATACACACACGCACAAACCGCACTAAAGCACACGACCACGCTCACGGTGCAACCCGCAACGCATTTGTGTGTGTGTGTGTGTGTGTGTGTGTGTGTGTGCAGAAAATGGACCTGGGCCCTTGCGAGAAACAGCACATCCCAGAGATGCAGGAAGAGTATGCCAAGCGCCTGAAGGAAGGCAGGTCGTTTGGATGCGAATACGACCTCATGAAGGAGCTGCAGAAGATTGTGGACGAAGCCGAGCACAAAATTCGCCAGCAGCAGTAAGCTCACAGCCAACCACATGCGCATGGAGGCCTTGGGGAGAACGTGTGTGTGTGTGTGTGTGTGTGTGTGTGTGTGTGTGTGTGTGTGTGTGTGTGTGTGTGTGTGTGTGTGCGTGCGTCTGTGTCTGTGTGTGTGCTTTGGTTCGTTACTGGTGTGCTTGGAAGGGTGAAAAGAGCTATTGTCGCTGTCCACGCTGCTTGCCTATCGTCAACATGCGCGCAACTCACATGTTCCTTTGCCCGTTGCTGACAGGGTTCGGCTGGAGCGGGAGCAGCAGTACGATGCAGAGACAACAGCCAAGGTACGTGCAAGCCCTCACCTTTTTTTCGTACTCACCCAAACTAATAAAATACATAGACGCACACACGCACACAGTGTGGTTGCTCCCATTTCCTCCCTCACTTGTACACACTCACTCAAACAAACAAACAAACAAACAAACAAACAAACAAACAAACTCTGTTGTTGTCGGCGCGCAGGCCAAGCTTGTGGAGGACATTGCGGAGGAGGTTGGCAAGACACTCGCCGAGGCGCAGCGGCTAGGTAAGTCTGAGTGTCGTCATCTCCACACACACAGTTCGTTGGCGCGTCAGTTCCATGAGTAGCATGGGCATAGGCGAGCGCCGTTGCCATTTGTTGTTGCTGCTGTCGTCGCTGAGCCGCTCTACCCGCTGATTCATCCCGCACCAACAGCAGCAGCCATCATCCAACCCGAACCTCTTGTATCGAGGGCTGCAACACGCTTCGTGCGCGTGCCATGAGCGTTTGCCCAGCTTCTGAAGTAGCAGCAGCAGCAACAACCACAACAGCTTAGCAACAACAGCAACCAAAGAGCTGTGATCGTGTGTGCTTGAAGCGGAGCGGGTCACACGTGTGCGTGATATTCGAGCCGGTCATCATCACACGGCATGCGCTTCCACGCCTGCTGCTTCTTCCCGCTTTTTCCCGCTTCTCCCGTCAGTTGCGTGTCGAACCCCCAGCCAGCCCCTATCTTCCTGTACACGCACACACACACACACACACACACACACACACACACACACACACACACACACACACACACACACACAAACACACACGTGTCTGTTTTCTCCACATATTCCCTTAGCTTCTGGCATTTCCTCCGCCTTTCGTGCTGTTCACCCCCATCGCACAACAATTCTTCTGATTTGCTCGTGTGTGTGTGTGTGTGTGTGTGTGTGTGTGTGTGTGTGTGTACAGCTGAGGATGGCCAGGTCGAAGCGTCCAAGAAGCTCATGGAGAAGGTCAACGAGCTCAAGGCCAAGCACGAAGAGCTTCAGGTGTGTCCACCATTGTGTGTGTGTGTGTGTGTGTGTGTGTGTGTGTGCTGTCGGATACCAATGACCAACTCAACTTACGCCCAGTGATTTGTTGGAATTCTTCTTCTTCCTCTTTTACACCACTCACTCCTACGCCTTCCCCCACATCCCAACAGAACGAGTTCAAGGCCATGTTCCCATCAACCGGCAAGCAAACGCAGCAGAAGCTGCGTGTGTGTGAAATCTGTGGTTGTTTCCTCTCCATCTTCGACAACGACCGCCGGTGCGTCAGTGCCACCACCCCCAACCGACAACGCGCCTTTGTGCTGCACCCTACACACACACACACACTCTCTCTCTCTCTCTCTCTCTCTCACACACACACACACACACACTCACTCACTCACTCACTCACTCACTCCATCGGCCACAAACGCTCGTGCATGAACTTGTGTAACACCTGTCAGACTGGCGGACCACTTTGGTGGGAAGCTTCATCTCGGGTATTTGAAGATCAGGGAGCACCTGAAGCAACTGCAGGAGCAGCTCAAGGACGCCCCGCCACCACGCTCATCGTACGACACACACACACACACACACACACACACACACACACACACACACACACACACACACACGCACGCACGCACACTCACTCACTCACTCACTCACTCACTCACTCACTCACACACACACACACACACACGCACACACTGTCTCTCTCTCTCTCTCTCACACACACACACACACACACACTCTCTCTCTCTCTCTCTCTCCCTCCCTCTCATACATTACTCTCACACACGCATGCTCGTTGCACGCATGCCCGTTGGCCCTCGTTTTGCCGTTCCTTACCCCTCTCACCGCTTTGCTTTCACCGCGCTGACGTTGCCCATACGTGCGTCAGGTCCCGTGACCGCGGCCGCGATCGTTCGCATGACCGTGACGACCGCCGCCGCAGCCGCCACAGCCGCTCCCGTGACCGTGACCGTGACCGCCGCCGTTCCCGTGATCGCTCTCGTTCCCGGGATCGTGATCGTCGCGGCAGCAACAGGGACCGCTACGACCGCAGGGACCGATATGATCGATATGACCGATATGACCGATATGACCGATATGACCGACGGTAAGCTGATCGCTTGGCTGCGGTGCTGTTAAGTCCATCCCCCCTCCCCCCGTTTGCTCTTTGCTTATGTTTTTTTCTCTGTGCTTCAGGCCACTCACGTTTGTTGCTCTGGCATTCTCACCAACAGGGACTACGACCGCCGCGGATCCCGATCCTCCCGCCACCGTGACGACGATGACTTTGACGACTATCGCCGCCGTCGCTAAACCACACATACACACACATACACACACATACACACACATGCATACGCCTTTGCTCTACTCCCTGGCCGTCTGCCAACCACCATGCTGTTTTGCGCTCTCGTGTCGTGCTGCCATTCCAAAGGCTGTCTTTGAAGTGTGCCTAACCACTGTAATAGTTGTGTAACAAGTTTGCTCCCTTCCAACAGTACACCGTTCATATGAAAATCATCGCAGCGCATGTCCAAACGAAGCCGCTGGCAGCGAAAGACTCTCGCACGCATGCATGTGTCGCGCCACTAGCACATGCACGCATGCACGAGGTTTTAGCGCCCAGCTTCACACGGATATGAAACGTATGTCCCCCATCTCCTGCCAACAAAACCAAGAGGGTGTGTGAGAGTGAGATCGTGTGCAAGAGAGAGAGAGAGAGAGGGTGTGAGAGTGAGATCGTGTGCAAGAGAGAGAGAGAGAGAGAGAGAGTGTGTGTGTGTGTGTGTGTGTGTGTGTGTGTGTGTGTGTGTGTGTGTGTGTGTGTGTGACAGACAGAGTGAGAGAGACATGCGCGCGTGTGCGTGTGCTTCGGTGAGCTCAGCAACAACAAAGCGGCGCGCTTTTGAAACGCGCGCACGCACCTGAATGCGGTTCACAGTGTGTCGCTGCCTGCGCATCTGCTTGAAGACGTAAACGAAGCCCAAGAAGCTGAGTAACGCAACAATAAGCGCAATCACCGCCAACGTCCGCGCCGTGTAATCTTGCTGACCGCTCGATCCGGGAGAGGGAGAACCTGAACTTGCCTGCATACATTCCAGAACCGGCAAACAAAATGACAACGCCCGTCCACAGCGCAATGAGAGCGATGCCGTGACTCTGATATTGAACAACATGGAAAGCAGCAAAACTACATACACACAGATATAGACCCTACTGCATCACGCACTTGCACACACACGCACACACACACACACACACACCAATACACGCACACACCAGTACACACACGCACACACAAATACACACACGCACGCGCACTCCAACACACCTCGACAGGGGTTGTGGTATCTTGTGCGAGTGCGGGTGAACCCGCGAGCACCACGACCGCAAACACGACCACCACCAACGCCGCCGCCATTGCTTCTGGGAATGCAATTTGTCATGTCGCTTTTTGTACCCAACATGGGATGGACAAGATGGGTTGTACGAACAGGCTACATAATGTAACTATGTAATGTAACAACGCCACCACTACAGTGTGTGCAAAGCAAACACGAAGCGACGAAACATGTAAACTGTAACAGTAAATCTCGGATACGAGGTAGGAGTAGCTGAGCCATTTACACAAAATACAATGCGCACAGCAAGAACACTTACACGACTTCACCATCCACATCTACACACAGCAAGAACACTCACGAGTCCGCTCGCTCTCTCCGTTCGCCCTTACCCTCCCCAGAACACACACGAACACACACGTGCACACATACACACACAACATACACATCTATTGACAGTCTCGTCTGATACTGATGTCAAGGACCTGGTTCAAACACAAGCAGAGCGTGCGGGAGAACGGAAGCGCCGTCATGCAACACGAGCTGCACAGCCGGACAACCGCCCTCGGCTTGCCAATCCTCAACCGACGCGAAAGGCCGAGCGTTGCTGGCCGGTTTGGTCGCCATGTTTACCACAGCAACGTGGGCGTCGTGTCCAGGCATCAGCTTCTCCCCGTCAACTTGCGCCTCCGACAGCATCGGGAAGGGGTTGGTGTACACCACATCGCACAGCAGCACCAGTTGGCAGCAGGGGAAGCGGGACAGCCGCCACCTCTCCAGAGTACGCGGCAGGTCTCTGTCCTTCACAGCGATGGGCACGGCCGACTCCAGAGCAAAGTCTAAGTCAGGTGTCACGTAGAACCCGTGGCCCATCCAGCCACCATCTTTTGGCACTAGGTGGCTCATGTCACCACTGAGAATGGCCACTGCCGCCTCGAACGACGGCAGCCCACAAAATGCGCGCTGGATGCGCAAGTTCACATGAAGCGCGTCGTTCGGGGAGGGGACGCAGAGGAAGTGGTACGGGCTGTTCAGCGCGTGCGGGTGCATCGTTGCGTAGCTGAGCAGCGCAATCTCCTGTGGCGAGCTGTGGTGCTCCGACGCCATGTCTTGCACCGGAAATGGGCGGGGCAGATCTTCCCGTTGGCCGTCGCACTTGCAGCGCACCATGATGCGATTGCGCATGACTGCGCCATTGAACGCAGCATTCTTCACGTGAGAAATGACCAACGCAGCGTCGCGGAGACGGCTCAGGACGGGATCCATGGATCGTGGCCCAGCCAGCGCCTTTCGCAGCACCTGAAAGGGTGTACGAGCAAGAACAAGGCATGCCCTCATGTAAACATCGAGGCTGTATCAACAGATGCACCACGAACAAACTGACCAGCACAAGAAAAGGTCCCTCACTGCTCACGAGCAGTCACTCGCAGTCGCTGACACAAACACAAGTGATAACAAACAACACAACACACGCACACGCACACACACGCACACGCACACACAACACACGCACACGCACACACGCACACGCACACACATACACACACGCAAACGCAAACGCACACGCAAACGCACACACATACATGCACACGCACACACGACACGACACCTGATGTAAGAGCTCCTGGTGCTCGGCAAGCGAGAGCCTGAGTGGAGCAACAAGGGTGGACGGTGCATCAGGTAGCGGCGCGAGAAGCGTGTCAATCTGGTCAACCACGTCCTGGCTCAGCTTCCACACGGCGTCATCCGCGCCAAACAGGATCTCCTCGTGCAAGTCCAGGTTCACGGGCCCGCCTTGCTTCGCAGCCTCCCACTGGATCAAGAACGCCTTGTACAGCTGCCCAAAGTCATAACGCTGGCCAATGGGCTGCAAGCAGCCCGAGATGATGTCTTGCATCTCCGGAGAGGCGGTGCGTCCGTTGATCTCCTTGTCTACGGCCATGAACACGTGGCGCTCATAGCAGTGGGCAATGTACTTGATACGCCGCTGATGCGTCATAAACTCAAGGTGATGCCAGGGCCGGAGCCCAAACACCATCTCCCACGCGACGCAGCCAAAGGAGAACACATCGGTCTCCCGTGTCAAGAGGTCGCCGGCGAACTGCTCGGGGCTGGCCCAGAGCTCCGTACCCAAGCGAGCAGACACGTGCGAGCTCTGCTCGCTGACGCTGCTCAGCCCAAAGTCACAAATCTGCGTGGACAAGCTGGCCGTAAGCAAGACGTTGGGCGACTTGAAGTCGCGGTGCACAACGCCGTGTGCATGCAAGTACTCCATTGCGCTCGCCATCTCCATCAGCATGCGACTCCGTTCTGCTCGGGAAGGCGCTGCCTTGCTGGTGTGCAGGTACTCGTACAGAGATCCGCCGCTGGCCCAGGTCATCATGAGGTACACCACGCCGGGGTCCGCTTGGTCGTAGCACAGGCCCAAGAACGGAACAATATGCGGGTGCCGCATGGTGAGGAGGATCTTCACCTCGAGCAACAGGCTGTGGTTGCGGTTGCTGTGCTTGCCTTGGATCAGCGCTGTCAGCGACGGCGCGCGATCTAACAGCACTTGCTTCAGGGCCACCATCTGGCCAGCATACGTCCCCTTGAACAGGTTGCCCGCAGCACCCACGATGGGACGGTGGCGCATGTCCTCTGCCCTGCGCCAGTTGTCCACAAACGACACGTCCATCCGCAAGTGCAACAGTGCCTCTGTCATGCGCGCATTCACGACGGCGCAATGGAGCGCGCGAGTGTGTGCGTAATGTGTGTGTGTGCACGTTGTGTGTCATGTGTTAGTGCACACAGGTGTGCGTGTGTTTGTTGTAGGTGGGTGTTGTGTGAGTGTGTGAGTGCGCACATGCGTGCGTTGTACATGTTGTGCGTGTATGGGTGCAGGTCGCTGAACGTGCGCAGTTGAGCGACGTTGAGCGAGCAAGAAAGGCGGGCGCTTCGGTGTGTGCACGAGCACTCGCGCATGGACACGTGTCAGGTTTTTCCAACACACTCACCAACTTCCGCTTCGCGGGACCTCCAGTTGGCACGCTCGTCATATCGAGGCATGCTTCTGCGCTTCTCTCGCCGCAACTGCCTGCGCAGCGCGTTGATCTCTTCATCTGGACACCAGCGAACAACGTGGCACGGTAATGCAAGTGCAAAGGCAGTGCTGTGAGCCTAACAGCCAGGTGTGCACAACATACACAACAGGGGCAATGGGTAAAGTAGCGCGCGAGGGATAAAAGTCCCGGTGTCACATTCACCTGTGCACCTTCCCTCATGTCTGTGAGTCTGTACCTTTGTGGAACAGTTCGCGTTTGATGGCGTCAAGTTTTGTCTCCAGTTCACTCACGCGGCTGATGGAGCCGACGTCGCTGCTTGAGGACGACGAAGAGCGGTGCTACAGAGCCTCACACGAAAATGCAAGAGAGGTGGCATGTGGGATTGTGGTTTGAAAGCACTTGCGATTCCTCGTCGCGACGCAATATTCGGTGCGTTGCGAAAGCGCCCACATTCACATCCACACACACACACACATCCAACACACAACACAACACACGTACTTGCACGGAAGAAGTGCGCGTGATTCGTTGAATGTTGTATCCAAGCTTTGCTTCGCCATCGAACCTGCACACAAGTCGCACGAAAAGCGAGTCAGGGCAACAATTCGTGGGTCCCCACCCCAGCAAGCACCCAAGCACTCAACCGCTTGCTCCTTGGGCGAAAGCTCAACAGCACTCGGCAAGGAGCAACACAGGGACCCAGACGTGTGCACCATGGTATGAAACTGTTGCAGAGTACATTCTGGACCAAGGCAAGGCAGACACACAACTTACAGAACGGTACACAGCATCTTGGCGGCTTCTTCGCCCAGTGCTCGGTCATTTGCATTCCCCGTCAAACTACACCATGGGCACGCATCAGTAAGAGAAATGACTATCGCACGCAACGCTTGACTCATCATGCTAATCACGCAAGGTGTGACATCAAATCATCAAAAAGTTGACTGATGTGATGCCCTGTACATACTCAAGGGTGATGAGCTGGGTGTTCCATGCCAGAGCGTGAACAATGTCCAAAATGCCTTCGCCGCTGATGCCGTTATTGCTGAGGCTGGGCACATGCAAGGAGAAGCATTCGGGAGGGCGGAGGGGCCAAGCCATCGTAGCAGTGCAAACAGAACCCCCAGTTGGGTGTTGGCAAGGTAACGTGAGTGTGAGTAGCTATCGACAGTGTTCTGAGTGAACCGAATTGGCGTGGAAACGTGGAAAACACACAGGAACAGATCGCACAATGGGGAGCGATTGCCACCCCACCCCCCTCCCTCTCAACCCACAGCCTCTGCCCTCATCAAGCAGCTGAACACGTACTCGAGGTATTGCAGGGACGTGTTGTGTGCAATGACCCCTGCAAATGCTTTGGCGCCGGCGTCGCCCACAGTTCCGTTTGACAATCTAGTCCGTCATGCAACAAGCGAACAAGCGAACAAGCGAGCAAGCAAGCACAGTCAGGCTTGTTTAAGATGACAGTGGTGTGAAGACAAGGCGTCGCCTCTTGTGTTTGTGCGTGCGTGCGCGTGTGTATGTGTGTGTGCATGTGTATGCATGACACTCAACGACGATGCATGAAAGAGTTTGTGCAAGGGACGCCTGCCGACTCACGAAACGTTGTGGAGCGACTTGTTCTTCTTGATGGCGTTGGCTAGTGTCCATGCGCCTGCTTCGTCCAGCTCATTTTCAAGGATCCTGGGCAGCAGAATGAAAAGCAAGCAAGGAATGCGGTGACGATCGTGCGTGTGTGTGTGTGTGCGTGCGTGTGTGTGCGTGTGTTATGTTTGGGAACATGGCTGCAAGGCTGATAAATAAGCACAGGCAGCGCCTTGCATCCGCACACATTGGTGAGTGCAGGCGTGTGTGTTGATGGTGTATCTATGTGCTGCTTACACAAGCGATCGGAGAGAAGTGTTACTGGCAAGCGCACCCGCCAGTGCACAAGCTGCATCAGATAAGATTGGACCAAATAGCCTGCGTACGCATCAATTGTAAATGTGAGTGCATCATGTTTGTGTGCATTGTGGAGTGGCATCAATGGCGGAGCGCGTGAGGAATGATGCATGTTTGCGAAGCGCACAAAGGTAACAAGGTTGTACAAGAGCAACAAAAGCAGCAGCAGCAGTATCAGCGCTGTGCGTCACGCTGAATGGAGCAACGGCAACCAGCCAACAACAAAACAAATCTTTACGTGAGGGAGGTGAGGGTGCTATTGGTTCGCAGTGCGCGCGCGAGCGGCCAAGATTGTCCGTTCTCACTGTTGTCATGGCCCAGCCTGTCAATTGGTCAAACGGCAGTGGAAGCGAAGGAGAGAGAGTGTGTGTGAGTGAATGCGTGTGTGTGCGGAAGTGTGTGTGTGTACGATAGGGCATGCAGATGTGGATGTGAGTGCACACCTATGGTGGGGCACTAAGACGAATTGTTCGTGCAATTGTTGATCGCAAACGCAGGGGCAGACTTACGTGCACACACGAGCCGCCCCCCCCCCCCTTTCCCACCCTCCCCGACTCGATGACAACCATATACACGCGATCAACTTACACAAATGTCTGGAGTCCAATGTTGTTGACAAGAATGTGCGCGAGTGCCCAGCTGCCGTCCGTGCCGCCCACTTGCTTCTTGATAACAAGCTTTTCCAGCACCTCATTGTTCCGCAGTCCAGAGGCCAGTGCACTTGCCTCCCGCGAATCAACGCTATCGAGCCTGATGGAGATTACATAGAATGCATGCATCCGCATGAACAGTGTGCATGTGTCTACACGGAGGGGGTGGTTCCCTTGCGACAGCCATCCGCAGCACGGGTGTGTGTGTGTGGTGTGGTGTGTGGTGTGGTGTGGTGTGGTGTGGTGTGGTGTGGTGTGTGTGTGTGTATGTGTGTATTTGGTCGGGTGGTATTGACATACTCGAGGCGCTGCAGCGTTGAGTTGTCCCTGAGAAGCTGCTCCAGCGCGCCTGGTTTTGCAGTGTGACAGATGCTCGTGGATAGCCTGCGAGTGGTGATTGGTGTGATGGTGCGGGGGACATGAAGGGATTGGGAGTGTGAGCGGCGGGCATGCACGTGTGTGTGTGCATGACAGCAACCCAAAGTACATATGAGAGAGAGAGTGTGTGTGTGTGTGTGAGTGAGTGAGTGCTTGCACACGTGTTCGTATGCATATTGCATGCACGTGTGCATGTGTGCACCAACAGATGCGAACCAACAACAGACCAAGTGATCACAAGCAAGCCAGGTGACAGGTGTGCAACCTGTTGTACTCACATGAGCTGCTCCAGGGAGTCATTCATTTGACAAGCACGTATGAGTGCGTGTGCGCTTTGGGCCGTCGTCACAGTGATTGAAAGGCTGGAGAAGTTATCCGTGCCATGAAAGGTTCCCGTCATACAAACATTGTGGCTGTGCCAGGACGCTTAGTGTCGGGGAATGGAAGGTCGGGCATGAACTGCATAATGCAACACGCACAGGAACCCTGCACGCCCCTCAGCCAAAACTTGTACCTGAGGACGGTCAGGGCCTTGTTTGCCTGTATCGTGTGAGCAAACGCGAGTGCGGCCTCTTCGCTGATGATGCCTTCGCCGAGTCTGCAGGGAAGACGCATTTGCACAAGCGCGGCCAGTAAGTCACATCACAACAGTCACGTGAGCAGACACAACACAGAGCTAAACCAAGCAGAGATGGGAGAAGGGGAAAGGAAGAGAGGGCGGTGGAGGAGGGAGGGAGGATAATAATGGCCGTGCTTTCAAGGAAAGCAAACCACGTGCCATCAAGAACAGCACACGCTGTTCCTCGTCAACATACAAGCCAACACGCACGCGCATCTCGAGGCTCACGTCAAAGTGCTGAGCGTATCATTTTGCGTGAGGGCGTCCGCGAGCGCAAGCAGTCCATCTGAGTCGCAGGTTCTCAGCCTGGTGAAGGTGAGAAGACAGAACCATTCGGATGTATGACGACTTTGTGAGGGCGTTTGATTGGACTCCAACAAAACGTAGGACGAAATCAAGGCAAAGGCACTGACTCACGTATGCGTGTGCGTGTGTGCGTGTGTGTGTGTATGCCTCAGGTGCATTGTCTCAACAAACAACAGTATGAGAGCGTGGTACTGACAGCAGAGACGTGAGGCTCCTGTTCTTCTTGAGGGTTTCAGCAAGCAGAGAAACGGCCTTGCCTTCGCAGTGTGCACCGGTAATGCTGTGGACCCCACATCGTGTGAATGTGAGCGTGTGTGTGATTTGGTAAATGGTTCAGAAAGACCAAACGCGGTATGTACTACAAGAGACAGTGGTATCCACAAAGCAATACACGCCCCACAGCTTACTCGAGGGTCTGAAGTGTGGTGTTGAAAATCAGAGCGTGAGCAAGCGCCGCTCCGAGCCCAGGTAGCCGCCTTTCTGTTTCAATTCTGCAAGGCAGAGGCACCATCACACACATAGATATGTAGGTATGTTGATCAGCCACACACACGCACTCGCACGCACGCACGCGCACGCACACATATACACACCAGCGACAAATGCGTTCAGAGTGTCTTGGTGATGTGCCAATAGGCCTTGATGGCCTCCACTTACATGAGGGCGACCAAACTTGTGTTTCGAGCCAGCGCTTGCTTCAAGCGCACCTCGGATCCAGGTTCAAGGCTGGTCAGCCTTCATGTGTGTGGTTGGGCAGTGGCAGTAGGGTGAAAGAGGCAGAGAAGCGTTTGTCAGGTAAGCAGGAAGGAAGAGGCGAGTTACGATGCATGCGCCAATCGCCATGTGCGAGTCGAGTTGAGCTGGTTGCATATGCTCTGGTGATCTGGCTAAAGACCTCGGAACATCAAGTTAGCTGGCAAATTCTGTGTTGGATCTTTCTTCACCTGAGCGTGGGACATGTCTCACTGACGCTGATCGCCTTGAGGCTGCCCTCCATAAGCAAGGCCGCCGGGATGGACATGGTCGGTTTCGTGGGCGTTGTCGTGTGGTCGCTCGCCGTCGACGAAATCGGGCTGTCGTGTCACACAGCTAGGAGGGACGTGCTGTGTCTGAGAGGGACAAAGAAAATGCCGCGTTCAACGCGCACATAATGCACACGCATACATAGCGTGCACACCACACACACACACACACACACACACACACACACACACACACACACACACACACACACACACACACACACACACACACACACACACACACACACACACACACACACACACAGCGTCATCCACCGGAAATCCATGAACGCCAGCGAATATTCGCCACGTCTTACGAATGAAAATTTGATTTGATTGCACTTTGCTCCCGTGTTGTAAGTCGTTTAAATACCGGGGCGAACGGCATGGGTACTACGTGCGGGGTCAGCAAAGGCCCACAAAAGGGCTTGAATTCAGATAAACGTGTGCGGGCCCGTTTCGCACAACGGTGGCTGCAGGCATGCCACGTAAAACCAACGTGGGCGTGCACGCACGTGTATTGACGGAGGAGGTCGTTGTTTGGCTTGCAGGTTCACGTACAATATGTGCAAGGGCGTTCAAAGACACGTCACAGTGGTGACCCGTGACACCAGGTCGGCGATACCTTGTACTGAGAACGAGACAGTCATGTGTGTAATGTAACATAACACAAGCAACGCGGCAACAGGCGACGAGATGAACAACACATGCAAAACCCAGCGGAAACAGCAAGAAGGCGTGGTCGGAATCTTGTGGGATGCACCGATAACGATACAACCAAGCAAGCACGGCAAGCCGGAGTAAACCAAGTGCAAGAGCAAGAACATGTCTGTTGAACGAGCCAGATAAGAGCGAAGATGAAGCACACACGATGGCGGGGTACAGGCGCGCAACTCTCAAACAAACATACATACAAGAAAAAATTCAAACTGCCAAATGAACACGTAAACGCACAAGCAAACCCATGTGAAAGACAAACATTCACACACACACACACACACACACACACACACGCAGGGAGTGACACGATAGGGCTATGCGATTGGGGCCTTTGAGATGACGGTGAGGGTGACGACATCGCCTGAGTTTCGGATCAGCTCCACCACCTGCGTGTGCTCCATTGTGCTGGTGTCTTGCTGGTTCACGGCGAGCAAATGATCGGCAAGCTTGATGCCCTGCCACACCCGCACGCAACGAAAAGACACAGCGTGAGGATTCAACAATATGCGGGCGTGGATGTTGAACGCGCACATGGTGTGCTAATGTGTGCACGTGCGTGCTGTGTAGTGAAGAGAAAAAGGGGCAAGGTACGAGCGTGGTTCCATGGCACTGGACGCAGGGGCGGCATCTGAGCCAGCGTGATCGTCTGCACACACACATAGACACACACACACGCACACACGCACACACACACACACACACAAAATAAAGGAGAGGAGCGTACGTTTGCCTTTGCGATGCCGTGCTTGTCGAGCTTGACAACAAACGGCGGGCAGGACCCGCGGAGGGTGAAGCCAAAGCTGCCGCCAGACGGCTTGATCAGCCCAACGTCCCTGGCAGCCGGGGGAAGGGAGGAACGAAGAGGAACGAAGAGGAAACAAAGGGAGAACGAAGAGGAGAGAGCGTGGTGATGGACGGAGGCGGAGGTGAGGATTGCAGCAGCAGAAGCATGCAGTATGAAGAAGAGCGGAGGATGAATGGACGACCAGTCAAGCATGAACACACACATGTGCGCGTACGCACACAATACACGCGCACACACGCACACCTTGGCATGTTGCTTCCAAACATGGACTTTGGGTGGCCAGGCGTGACGTAATCATACAACGCCTGCTCGCATGGTGTCCAGGGCGCATTCAAAGGCCACGCAGAGTGGCGGGGGGATACAGCCAGCACAGTGTGAGCACAGATCCCGGCTGCTGGGGATTGAGAGGAAACAGGGCGGGCAAGGAGGGAGATACAACGGGGCACACACGGAAACAAGATGGGCATGTGGACCTTGTGGATGAATGTGTACTGGACGCCTGTCTGAACAGCACCACCGCGTTCCTGACGCATGCGGTACACGGTGCCAAACACATCGCACACCCTGCACGCCAGTGCCATCATCACACGGCATGTGTGTGCGTGTATGTGTGTGTGTGCGTGTGATCAGAGGTTACTCGATGCGAGAGAGAGAGAGAGAGAGAGAGAGAGAGAGAGAGAGAGAGAGAGAGAGAGAGAGAGAGAGAGAGAGAGAGAGAGAGAGAGAGAGAGAGATCAGGCGCGTTTGAGCTACAGGGAAGCAGTACATGCACTGGCGATCAGACGGTGTCGACAGACAACGCACCGCCATTCGCTCTGCAACTCTTGCATGCAGATGTCCAAACACATGAAGGTGCCTGCTCACGTGTGCATGTGTGTGTGTGTGTGTGATGACGACGTCAATCAAACGACTCAACGTAGCAAAACAGTGCATGCCCCAATCGAAAAACATGTGCACACACATACATACATACATGCACACATACGCACAAGTCGGACCTGTGCGGCCGATGCCTGCGCTACAGTGGACAACAATGGGCGCGGCGTCGTGCGAATGGTTCGCGTGCTTGCGAACGGCGCCCACAAAGTCAAGCACAGGCCACGTCTCGTCAGGCACACCGTGGTCGGGCCAGCTGGTGAACCTGCGATGGCGGACGAGGCAGTGGCACAAGCCGATATCGTGTGTGTGTGTGTGTGTGTGTGTGTGTGCAGACGTGTGTTGAGTCTTCAGGCGTGCAAACAAGACATCAATTCTCCTCCGACATTCCCTTGCGATGGCCAACCTCCCTCGCCATGTTCCCCAAAGCGAACGTGCGCAACACACACACACACACACACACACACACACACACCAGTAGTGGGAGATGTTGACGGTTTCGCCCGAGGGGATGTGCTGCAGGCTGAACGTCGTCAGCACGTAGTCCTCACAGTCCACGTCCTCCACCGTCCGCACCTGTTGCCACATCGCGGGATGGGAGAGCACAGGCACACACGTCACAATCAAGCAGCGAGCTCGGCGGTCCATAGGAACAGGACGGACCAACGACCGCGCTTGCACATTCACACGCGTAAACAATCACACATGTATGTAAACATTCATACACACATGTAAACACATATGTAAACACATGTAAACATTCACACACACACATACACACATACACACACACATACGCACACGCACAAACACACGCACAAACACACACGAGCTCCATGTGCGTGCGTACTGTGAACGTGGTCTTGTCTGTCATGGTCTCCCCAATATCTGGCCAGTACTTGTCGCATTTTGCACGGCCGTTCTCCCTCAGCCCCGTCATCATCACAATTATCCTGCACTTGTGCTCCCAGATCATGCGCCTGCAAAACAACACATAGGAAACCAGGGTGTGTGTGTGTGTGTGTGTGTGTGTGTGCGTGTGGGACAAGAGGTAAATCAATTGAGTTAGCAAGCCTGTCAGCTTGCACACACGCAAGCACAGTCGTGCACAGGAAGACAAACACGCACGCAGACACGCACGCTCACAGACACACAGACATGCAAGGCAGACATACCCCCAAACAAACAGACACACACACACACACACAGGCACACGCACCAGAAGTCCCAGATGGTGTTGGCCTTTGGGCCTTGTGCGGCGATGTATGTGTTCTCGGCATGGTTGTAACCGGTGACAAAGTTGGCGTTGATGTACTGCAAACCAATATCAGCACGATGTCACATACGCCATCGTCGTGTGCAAATGAAGACGCCGGGGCAAGTCAGTTGCACATCAGAGGCAAAACAAAGCGGAGTAAAATGGTGGTGTTGATGTGACATCGAACGCAGCGGAGTGCCATTGCTCAGATCGCACACACACAGACACACAAGGCAGAGACAAAGACAGAGACAGACATACAGGCAGACAGACAGGCAGACGAACACAACCGCACACACACACACACAGGACAACACAAGCAACGTACTGTCGATGTGTGGTCGGAGCCGACTTTTCCCAGATTCACCCGGGAGTGCGGGCTGGGCAGCACGTTCACATCTGCAGACGCGATGATGGTATGGTTTGCAACGGAAAAGCGCGAGAAGGCAGCGCAGTGTGATGCGAGACATGAGTAGGGCGCAAGCACAAGCCCAAAACAGCGTGTGCTTGCAAAGCATACAATAACCCAAAGATCGTGTGCACGCTTCGCAACGGGCAGAACACAAAGCAACTAGGGGTGTGGGAGAAGATGCCAAGCACCACAGTACGCACATCTGTTCTTTGGGCCAGTGCCATCTGGGATATCAGCCGGGGAGGCCATGAAGGTTGGGATGCGCTCAAACTCTTGCAGCAACTGTGATGTGCTGTCCTCTTGGGCCAGCGTGCGCAGATCTGGCAACAGATCATCAACACAGCCAGCGATTCGGTATCGTGGTGGACACTTGAAGTGAGCAATCGCGCATGCACACAGGCGCACCCACAACGGGCAAAGGATGTATAGGGACAACGACCCGGTAGTGGCGCACCAGACACGCGGGATCAACACACAACACAACCAATACCAGCAACAACAACAACAACAAGCAGCACTGCACAACCGCAGTGGCATATTCCATCAAGCCAGGAAGAACGATTTCTTCACCCCAACACACACACACACACACACACACACACACACACACACACACACACATACACACACCTTGAACAGAGAGAAGGCGCATGGGTCGTTCGCCGCCGGAGGCAGCGGCAGTGGATGCCGTCTGGTCAGCCATCATCAAACGACAGATGGAGGGTGGTGCAGAGGGAGGGAGGGAGGGACAACGGGTGTAGCAGAGGACAACAACAACCAACACCACTCTCTCGCGCGCTCTCTCACAGCCAGTCGTGTTTGTGTTACTACTTTATGTGGTGTCGACATTAACACTCCGCGACGGGCCCACTCCGCGACTCTGTTGTTGTGTGTGCCACCACCATCCCATCTCTGACGACCTCATCTGAAGACCATCACATCACATCATGGGTTCTCGCCGCAGAGACCACTCGTTCATGGACAAGCCTGAGTCAGGTTGGAGGAGAGGCAAAGAGAGGAGAAGAGGAGAGGAGAGAAGGAAGGGGCGGGGGCGGGGGGAGCGGTCTTTGGATCGGTCGGGTGATTCGTAGCGTCACCATTGTGTGTTGAAGTGTTGACGTTTGCCTGAGGAGACACACACACACTCACACACTCACTCACTCACTCATTCGCTGTCAAATGTCATTGGTTCAGGCTGGCTCCACGACGATACTCCGCTGAGTGCAGGACAGGGACTGTTCTACAGCTTTCCCGTCGTGGTACGTGCGCGGCCAATAGTGTTGTGCAGTGGTTGTGATGACAGCAGTGGTTGTGATGACAGCAGCACTGTTGCAACCCTTTTTCTGTGTGTGTGTGTGTGTGATCGTGCATGAATATGTGTGCAAATACACATGTTTGTGCAAATGCACATAAGTGTGTAAATGCACATGTGTGTATGAGCTTGCACATGTGCGTGCACCTGTGCACATATGCACATGTGTGTGCGCTCGCTTCCTCACACCTTTATTTTTCTGTTTCTTGACCCGTTTCGTTTGGTGTGGCAGTATGTGGGATCCATTGTCGTTTCGCAGTCCCTTCGCCCATTGAGCGTCATCGATCAAACAGCGCTGATGCGGTGAGTGAGACGCGCCGCAAGCTTGCTCGCGGAGGCCGCTTGGTGCACACCTGTGTGCTGCTCACCGCTCCGTTCGCCTCTGCTCGCTTCTCTTCATACCATGTACCTCATGCAACGCTACACACACACACACACCTCTAACGCACCACTTGTCACGCACCACTTGTCACACACACACACACACACACACACACACACACACACATACTCTCTGTCACGTACACGCAACTCTTCACGCAACCCATACGCAATTGTGGGCCGTTTGCAGCGACCTGATCCACACGGTTGCCACGCGAGTTGGTCTTCGCAAGCCGCAGTCACAGATCTCGCCCGGGTATCTGAGCAAGTACCTGTCTGGCCCCGTCACGCCTGCCGAGGTGGACGTCAACCTCAACATCTCCTCCGACGGCCTCATGATCGTCCCCGTCCAGGCACGTGCGCACACACTGACCTCTTACTCACTCACACACACACACACACTCTCTCACTCTCACTCACTCGCTCACTCTCTGTCACATGTTTCCCAGCAGCCTTGTTCCTTTGCTCACTCCTGCATGTGCTGTTGGATGCTGTCTACTGCGAGCAGAAGGACGACACGGGCGACTACGTCGAAGTGGGGGTACGTACAAAGCATGAAAAGTACGGCATCCCTGCCGGTTATATTGCCCCTGCACACATACACAAACACACACACACACACACACACACACACACACACACGCTTACATGTTGTGTTCGGTACCTTCCTATGTGTCTCCTGCAACCCTCGACCCACTCGTCATCTCAACACATCTGCCCGGTTTCGTTCGTTTGCTTGCCATCCCCCCACACACAGATGCTGCAGTTCAGCCCCATGCGGTTCATTTCGCTGGCGGCGGGCGGCGAAGACGACGACTATGAGCTCATCTGCTACGTCGGCAAGAACGACGTCGGTCTCAGAGGTGCGCGGCCACGCAGCTGACGGCACGTGCACAGTCCCTCGCACACACACACACGCACGCACATACAAACGCACATACACATACCCATGCACACGCACATACACTTGCAGCAAAGCTGAGCACGTGCACACCAATATGTACATGTCGCAACCTCACATGCGCTCGCACACTCATGCGTTTGCAATGTGTGTCTGTGTCCTCGTTTTTGTTGTGATGGACCTAGAGTGCTTCGTCTTTGATTGCGGGCAACTGAGCGACGAAGTGTTGGAAACGTTCGGCCAGGCATTCGTCCTCGCAAATGTACGCGACCGGTGTTTTGTGCACGCACACTACCTATGTGTGTGTGTGTGTGTGTGTGTGTGTGTCTGTCTGTCCGTCTTGTTTTGTCTGTCTTGTCTTGCCTGTCTTGTCTTGCCTGTCTTGGTTTGTCTGTCTTGTCTTGTCTGTCTTGTTTGTCTGTGTGTCTGTTTTTCATTCAGCACACCAACGTTACTCACCCCATTGTGACAACGGACGCAGGGGTCGCAGCAGCAGAAGAAGAAGGACAACACATATGACCGCCCATATCAGGCCAAGGCTGCAGACAAGAGCATCTACGAAAGAATTCCAGCAGCCGACCCCGTACGTGCACACCCGCATGGCTCTTGCTGCTGCTGTTGGGACCGTGTGTGTGTGTGTGCACGTATGAGTGAGTGAGATAAAAGAGAGTGTGTGTATGTGCGCGCGCGCGCGCGTGTGTGTGTCCAGTGTTATGCTCGCACAAAGCGCCGCCTGAACGCTCACACTCTATGCACACACACACACACACACACACCCGCACACACACACACACACACACCCACCACGCGTGCTGCGGCAGACGTATGCGTCGTTGAGCCGGGAGCAGCAGCGCGCACGCGAGCTGGACAACACCTACTTCGAAGTGGTGAGTTGTGCACTCACACTCATGCACACTTACACATACGCCAACACACACATACAAACACACACACACACACACACGCATACGCACGCGCATGCACATGCGCTCCTTGCGTGTGGTAGTTCGTCGCAATAGTCACTTTGAGGCGGTGGTTCGAGTTCTTGTACATATCGGCATGCCCTCGCTTTGTCATGGGGCTGAACCCGTAGAGAAGGTGGTGAGGGGTGGTGGTGGTATGGATTGAGACGACATTTAGGACACTGTGCATTAGGCAATAGGCATTAGGCATTTGTATCGTCTGGTCACGATTGTCATGTGATTTGGAACTGTTTCACTCACCACGCTGTACATACTTGCGTTGCTTGCACTGAAACCATCATCGCGCGCGCATACGCAACAAACAAACAAACACACACACACACACACACACACACACACACACACACACACACATATGCACACATGCACACCACGATCACCCCCCCCCTCCTTGCTGCCTGCGCACGTGTTCGCGTTCACGTGTGCAGGAGGGGACAGCAGAGGGGAACGAAGCGAAGCCATCTGTTGGTTGCGGGGTGGTGATGATGGTGGTGGTTGCCGTAATGTAATCGCATGTGCACGCACATATACAGGCATACACACACGGCGGCATGCGTCGTCCTTGTACATAGACACGGCGATCCCCACCTCCACACACACACACACACAC